TGTAATCAGTTATGCGTACCCAATTAGACTCATCATTTTTTTCTTGAGTAACCTCGTTTGACACTGTAATTAATAGTGCTCTTTAATTGGCTCACGACGAGCTCAAAGAGATCTGACTGCAATAACTTACATAGAAATCTCGATAAATATTTGTTTGCATATATCCGACGAATAATCAGATCTTACTGGTAATTGCATTCAAATTCCTTCCCTGAACTTGAAATAAACTATAGCACGAATTTAACTACTTCTCTATTTATATGACTTGAGATCATATCAAGTACAAAACAAAGTGAAACCACTCGAAATAGCACGAAACGGAAACTCAAATCGCTTGAAACTCAATGACTTACACAACTTAATCTTGACGGAATTTCGAATTCCTATAGCTACAGAAAACATATCTGCACGTTCTCGTGAAATCAAATATTGCCCCACAGGGTATTACATGCTTTGCTTGCAATAATCATCTTGAATAAAATATTTCAAACTTTTTTTCAATTACTCGGCTTAAAATACCGGAAATGTGTTAGTTGAATTAAAATAAGTACTTACTTTCGACCGAAGCTTAAGGTTGTCACGTCCTTTGGAAATGAACCAAGGACGACAAATAGTCTTTAATTACGCCCACTTTACAATACTCATCTTTGAGATGAGACTTTTTTCTGTCGGAAAAGAAGGCAAAATAAACAAATAATTAAAACGAGGATTTGAAGTTTATTCTGATTTCCTCACGATCACACTGCCGACGCTATCAAGGCTTTAGCTCAACAGTTTGATGACAAATTTTCAATCTACGAAAGCGTCTCACCTAATAATCAGTGTAATATAAATCTACTAGTGTTCTATCACGAATAGCGTTCTCTTTTTGACTACGCTACTCCCTATTTATATTAAACTATTAGATATAGTCTGTAAGCAAGTTCTTATGCCTTGCGGAAGGAACAAAGTCGATGAGCAAAGTTGCGAGAGATCCTGGTACGCGTTCGCCAACGGCTTTGCTCGTGCCCCCAACTATAAGAGCCTAATCGACGGGTAAGAATTAGATTATGAGCTTTTTCTATCGCGTGATATAATTGAAGAGGGGGGTAGCCCGAGTCAACTTTCTCGCATAGAAATCGAGAACGAATAATCTAATTGCTTGTCACCATTTTGATCATGATTTTGGAAATCTCAAAAACATACATCGATCGTTGGACGCTGAACAATAATGGTTTTATTTTGTAGAGCAGTACTCAACAAATGATTAGAACTCATTAGGAAGTGAGGATGGCTGACGATGGCTTGGATGGAAACGGATTGTGATATGGAGCTTTGAAAAAGCGTCAGGATGTCAGTTTTTCAAAGGTTCAAGTTTGACTCGAAAATCGTTGAAATTTTGCAAAAATGTTGCTTAAATCATTTACTTAGAGCTAACTAAGTTCTTATTACATAAACTGTTTAGGGACTATTTCGTGAATTTATAACAGTTTTATGTAAATATATCGTGACAGTGTCCCTTTAACTCAATCCTCTTCACAGACACTTCGAAAAAACCAAGAAGTGGCGGCAAGTTTGTTAACAAGCACACCCTGCTACGCTCCTCACTATCTACAAAACAATTAGATTATGAGCTCGAGATTTCTATCGCGTGATAGTTGACGAGGGCGCAACCCGAGTCAACTATCACGCATAGAAATCGAGAGCGAATAATCTAATTCTTTTAGTATAAATTTACTAGCCATTCAAAACTTTATCTAAATCCTCTTCACAGACACTTCGAAAACGCCAAGAAGCAGCCGTCATTTTGTTGGCACACTGCTACGCTACTCACTATCTATCACAGAATAGGTAGTGACTATAGCGTAGCCAATCAGAGAACGGAATTCGTGATAGAACGCTAGCAGATTTGTACTGAAACAGAATAGATGGTGAGGAGTGTAGCCAACCAGAGAACGGTATTCGTGATGGAGCGCTATTTAGATTAATCTGTTATAAATAGTGAATAGCCTTAGCAGTGTGCGGTTGTTAACAAAACGGCGGCCGCCTCTTTAGGTTTTCGATTCGAAGTGTCTGTGAAAAGGATTTAGATAATGTTTTGAACGACTAAAATATTTATGCCAGAAGAATTCGATTATTCGCTGTTGATTTCTATGCGTGATAGTCGACTCATGCAGCGCCCTCGTCAACTATCACGCGATAGAAATCTCAAGCTCATAATCGAGTTGTTAAATGCATCCATCATATCAAAAAGTACCGCATGATAGCACTGCTAAACAGCTTTCATTTATAAATAGTCACACACTAAGGCTTCAAAGTTCAAACCAATTAGCAACTTGTACATATAACATTTTAGCCCCAAACGAAAGTACCGCTCATTCTTGACACGGTCACATTCCAGTGTTTTATCCTCAGACTTCAAAGTATAAACCACCTTGTGCAAAACCCCATGAAATTAAAGTACGGCACATTGCCTTTCGTCTGATTGATCAGTAACTGTACTGTAGAAAGTACCGTATCATGTGTCTAGCAGTACAAAATTTGATCCTAATTCACGAGTCTGCCGCCTTTAATCAAACAGTGTTTCATGCCAAACAGTAAATAATAGCTCAATAGAAACAAAAATTAATAGCCGCCATTTGAAGAGGGCGCAAATTAAGCAACAAACTTGGCCCGAACCTTTATAAACTCAGGTCTGTTTCCGGAGGTCCTGTTTATAGGCAATGATCCATCCAGCCCGGTTATAATGCAATTAATTATATAATCGTAACCTTAATTTGACGGAAATGGAGGCTTCGTCCGTATTTCTTTTAGTGACCGCATCCCTTTTTCACTTATTTAATTAGCTCTGAACTCTTTCCAAGATGGCTATTTATACACAGCACGCGCGGTTTGAGTAGTTTAATTTAAGAACCCCCCTCTCTTTCCGCCGGCTTAAGCCCCTAACCTACAGAATGTTTTGCGGCATGATCTCCTTTGGGTCATGTTTACACGTTTCCGTTAGTATAAATAGAGTATTTACTTAAAAGATGATGACGTATTTGTCACAAATCAGAACACGAGGAGGTGTGTTTCGGGTCAATTCCTTACTCATGTAATTTTGTTCGTTGAAGGGGAGGGGCACCTAAATTCGGTTAACCAAGTCTACTCGCCCGGAAACCCACAAGAGCGCTAATGGGCGGGTAGGTAAATAGCATTTTGCACACTTTCGTTACGTAATATCATGAAAAGCACGTTTTGCTTTGATTTGTAACCAAGTATCAAGGTGCTCACTTCCACATAACATAGAGGCTGTTCATTAAAACAACTTTTTAAAACATTAAAATGATGAAGATGACTATTATCAGTTTAGCAAACGTCTGCGCACGGGCTACGATTTGATCACGGTAATGTGAGGATCAATTTCAATTTCCCTCATGCAAAGAAAGAAATCCAGGGTCAACCAAACTTAAGTATAAAACTGCCGCTTTACAGCGATGGATCAACTCGGCGGAAACCTGTTTTCTAGCGTTGTGGGTCTGGCGGAAAAACGCAACAGTTTGCGTTTTTGTGGATAGTTCGTGGTTATATTGAGTACCATAGGGGACAACAAGGCGTTAAATTTGATTAACCTCTTCCAGGCGTTCAGTTAGTTGGGGCGCACTGAACGCCTGGAGGAGGCTAAATCTGGGTAGAACAAGTTAACAAGGTGACAAGACCACTATCACGGGTGACAGATAATAACGGGAGCATTTCCTTCGCATTGATCTCAGTCAAGCGCTTATCCTTGGGCGTTTTACTAGCTTACGTAAGCTAACATGAATCAGTAGAAGCGTTCATCTGGAGCAATATTCGCTCAGACTGACATTGTAATGAAAATATTCCATAATTCAGTATAGTCCTCGTCGAAGACGAGGTAAAATGTTTATGGTTCAATTCATCGCGACTGCTCAAATTGAAAACAAAGCTGAGGTGATCATTTTCCACAGCATTTCTCTCTGCATAACTAAAGAAATATGCCCTACTCTACATGGGTACGATCAACTCCATCTTTCAGTTTGATAGTCTAAAAATAAGAACGATTATTTGGTTGATAAACACAGAGATCGAAGGATTTTGATCTGCCAAGCCGCAAACTGAACTTCATCAGAGTAAGATACTTCATCGTTTCGCACATGCAGCCAAACTGTCAACAGAATGAGATAAATTGTAAATCAAATTTGTTAGGAATTCATTTTATCAGATACAATGTTGGAAGTTTGTCAGTTTTCAGTGAGCATGTTGGGGAAGTTTTCGGTTAAATTTTGGGCTCATTGTAACTTGTCCCAAATTTGGCTTTTTGTCATCTAAACCCTCTCCCGGTGGGTCCGGAAAATTGGCTAATAACAGGTTTAATTTTCGACACTGGAGGAAACCCGTGGGGCGAGACAGTAATTTTTTAAGATTTCCGCACTACAGTTTTCCCAACCCATCCAATTCTTATCCAAGTTGGATTTCAGCCTGAGCTCCGTCAAATAAAGTAAAATATTCATCCCTTCTATTGTACAGGTATCAGACGTTTAGTGATCTAAGCAAGTTTTCTGCCGTCACCGATTTGGAACACATGCCAAGTACGCGAAGGTTTCTGGTCTTGTACGAAAGCGCGCGCGATGGACGCGCGAAAGAGTGGGACTTGTACAACGACTACTACGGGGAGTATATGGGGCTAAACCGCGCTATTTGAAGTATTTGTACTTCATACAGTCTCATACAACCTATTCACAAGCAAGTTGAGCCACTTTGTTCGAAAAATATTCTGTAGTAATGTTTGGAAACTATCCATGCTCGTTGAAACATTGGAACAGACGAATCTTTTCAGTGTTGAGGTCTTTTCTTTTGAAGCTCAGAATTAAAACAGATAGATAGCTTCATATCTTTCTTTACAGGCCTGCGAACTTCAAGATCAAAAGTCATCAAAACTACCTAGTTTCTCAAAGCAGCACTAAGCTGTTTTGTAAGGGTGCGGTGCATTAAAAATAAAAGAAATATGACATGACAATAAATCAAACTAAACATTTATTATTTAATATATTTACACTGTTTACACTGGCTTACTTTCTATTTTATCGCTCCGAGATACATACACTCCGAACAGTAGCACGAACCCAACATGGAATATCAAGCGAGAGGCGAAAAGAAAACGAGAGATCGAAGGAAGGAAACTCGCGACGCCATTTTCTCTTCTTACGTTCAGTTCTCGCTTTGTCAGTTGGCGACTCTTCGTAGTGTTCTTTATGTGAACTTCACTTACTTTACTAGTATTATCGATTGTGTCGTTTCAAAAAAAAAAAGACGTATTACCAAGTATCTCCAAATGGAAGACAAATATTTTGTTCTAGATCATTCTCTGATACAGCAGTAATATCTAAAACATAGGCTTATAAAGCTCAGAGATCGAGGCGAGGATTTGTACCAAAAGAGGTTCTGAAACTACACGGGTGTGGCAATTTGTTTACGATAAGTAACACGAAAATTATGCGCCATTTTCGGGTATAATGGCCGTCGGACAGATTGTATTTCAATACCACCGGCAAACACGCCCAAACCGATAAAGGCGACCGCCGTTTTGGGAGAATATCTAAGCGGCTCTGAATAATGGAGCCCGACGACAAAAAATAATTCCTGATATTTACACGGTTCCTTAGGTTATCAATATTTGGCGCCAGTTGAGACGTTCAAAGCTATTCTTTTTCTTGGTTGTCTGGCGCACAAGTGGTTTAAAGTACACTACAGTTGAACTCGTCTGGGAACAAGTGACCTGTCTCACGACCGAAAAAACGCGGTATCTGTGATATCCACTACCCTGTTTAACCTATTCAACCGGTATCTTACATATACAGCACTTCTCCAGTATTGCTTCACTTGTTTTCAATTATGTGACGAATTGCGCGTTTTGAATAGCTGAGCAATATTTATTTTTCGGCCATAAAAAGCCTCGTTACATTTAAACTCCGCAGCGACAAAAATAAAAAAAAATAAAAAAAAATAAAACACCCTCTCCAAATACCCCGCCTTTTTCATTCCTACAACTAATCACCCAAATATTTATCTCTTCATGCTCCAAAAAGCTCAATATATAAATCACTGCAGATTTCAAAACGAATATCGGCGCTATTCCAAAGGTACATTGAACAGCATTCCACGCGAGCCAGAAAAGCGCCATTCCATACCATGGAATTACTAACCTCTGACTGAACTGTCCGTAAGCTCACAAGTTGAATCTTTCCGCATTGGCAGCTCATTTTCTTGGCTACTGGAAGGCCTTTCCGCTTGCAAGTTAACAAAGTCGTGGCAAGTATTTTACAAAAGGTTCGTTTTTGACTGATAAAACTTCTACCCGGGTTAGCTGAAATTTAGCTCTTTGTTTAAATATATACTTAACTTTACTACCTACAAACTTTCCTTGTGTTCAAGATTTAACGTTGCTAAATGTCTCTGCTCTACTTTTCCGTAATAAATCATTTAAAACGTAAACTCTTTCTACTTTATACATTAAAAATTATAGTGTTACTGAACGAGACACTAAAAATAATGCGCTATTTCGCTTGATCAATTCAGGACTCCATTCTCGATATCAGCCCGCCGAGGCAAAATATTTTCAACAAGGAAAACAAAAATCATATCTGCTCTAAGTTCAACGTACGAGTGACGCATTTAATGCAAATTACCCTCTAAACGTACTCCAGCGAGAAATTCTAAAGTCAATTGTTTGTTCAAAAATAAGTAATAAATATGTAAAACAAAAATGTCCGATCTAAGTCCTGTGGTTTCTACTCTATTTGATTTCAGCTTGGACACCTGATACCGTATTCACAGCTATTTGAAGCAATCACGCTCAGTTTCGATTGAGATTTCTTGGATCCCACTGGTCTCGTGTTAATAAACTGCAAGCACTTGCGGCCTTAGCTTCGGGCCATGTCTCATTGCAGCTTCTGCCATTCAGCGTCGTGTAAGTTGCGTTGAAATTGACCCCAGTCTCAAAGTGAGGAGTAGATTGAGAGCCAGAGGCTTGGAACCGTTTCTTAATCTCCTGTTAACAACAACAACAAAAAAACTGATATTAAACTTCATTCGACAGACATTTTACTTAAAACTGCCTCTGTCCAACCAGATGTTAGTGCGCAGAGAAGGATAATTTCTGTTGGTCTTTAAAAAAATAATGAAAGAATAATAATAATAAAAAACCATACAAAAACTAGAGTAATTTCAGTTTGTACTAATTTTCACTAATTCTTCCCTCTTGCAATCAATATACATGTACGAGGTTTGAAAAGGGAGCCGCAAAGAACTCTACATCGAGAATATGACCGTTGTTCCGTTATTTTGATCCGGTCCGGCGAAGCCAACAGGAAAAGCACGACAATGCGTGGAACGTGCGGGCGGAACGTGCCATTCGAGCTGTGAGGAACTTATGAGTGTCCTCGCGCGAATCTCGTGTATTTTACACACTCGCCGTAAAACGCATCCCTAAAAACAAATTTAACGATCAAGGTTAAAGTCATTACCTCGACAACGTCTGTCACACATTTTGTAGTCATTCCTTCTTTACTGTGCTTGACGAAAGCCTCTGTGAAGTCGCTCCGCCAAGAAGATTGGTTCCACGAGGTCGACGAAATGGCCACGAGATTCCGGTAAAGTGCGGGATGCCGTTCCATTCTGCTCTTAATTTTGTTGATCATAGCACCAGAATAACTGTAGTCGGCGACGATAAACAGACGCTTAGCCGAGCAGTTTTTCACGTCCTCTAAGAGCTCCCTAGGGGAGTAAAGTTCAGAGTCGTCTGTGAGCCCATTGCCGTTGTCCCAAAACAGGAGAGAGCCATCACTCTTGGAGGGACCGGTCAAGTAAAGCGTGGCCGTATCGACACACAGCGATGACCCACATAACTTCTTGATGTATTCTTTGGCCGTTATAGCGCTGTTCACTGCGTAAGACTTGTCTCTTTGATGAAGGGCAACTAATAACAGAAAAATGTAGTTCAGAAACTGGAATCTATATTTTTCATTCATAAAAGACATTTCAAGCCAAATAAAGAGAAAGAGAGCTATAAACCAGCCAATTTTTGGCAGAAGATACCTCTGGAACTGAAAAGATCTCACCGATTCTAGAGGGGAAAATTTTTACGATTTAGCTCAAAATTTTCAAGGCCGTCTCAGCTTTTCTCAATCTCAATCTTTAATTTTACCTTTTAGGCATTGTTATACCTCCCTAAAGAAACTATTATTCCAGAGTTAATTCAATTAAAAACAAATTTTGTTGATTGAAATCAACGACAGCATATAAATTATTTGGTAAAAGATTTTGCGGGAGCTTGATTTCTGCCAGGAAATCGATAAAAATAACGTTTCCCGACCACGCAAAATGATCCGGCTTTTTACATCGGGGAAATAGGTTAATGGAAATTTCAGAGAAGAAATCTTACAGAGTTACGATTTTTAATGTACTGTAACCCTCTCTCCCAATTTGGTCGCTTTTGATATCTTTCATAGTTGTATTTCAAATGGAAGATATATGTGGAGGGTAAGAAAAGCCACAAAGATGGCTATAAATATACTTAATGAAAGCTTTGATCAAAGGCCTCATGCAAATGCACTACAGAGGAACTGTACGACGCAGCGTGCTGGAATTTGCTAAGCTGAAATTTAAAAGCTGGTGTGTAAACAGTTGAAGAAAACGGTTGTCACCAAATCGGCAATGGCCGGCTGTAATCAAAGTCAAACTTTTCAATAAACGTTATCATCGGTACGTGCTCGCAGAGATCGGCGGTGACACACAGGCTTAAATTTATTTAATTAAAACTCAGTGGAAAAAGTATGCGACCCGAGAGCAGAAGTAACTTGAATTCTAATCAGTGGAGATAATTAATGCTTCCGCCAAATACGTGAGGCGAATCTGCAACCCGGGCGTACGTGAAATACTCATTAACGAATAATCAGTCTTTCGGCTTGACGAATCATGCGCCTTTTTCTCTGATGACAAGATCTCGCCGAAATTAACAAAAAGTGGTTAGGACGTGAGCCTGGGATTAATGTTGCGGTATTTAAGTTGAATTTGTTTATTTTTGGGGTCAGAGAGAAAGCTTAAAATAATATAAAGCCTTCTTTGTTGGCCAATGTCAAACAATCACAGTTTTTTTTGCGCCCAAAACGAAAGCAGGCGACCTAGAACACCTTACATAAACCGGCCAATCCGCGTGACATTATTCCTCGAAGTAAATTGGAAACTCCGTAAAACGGAATTGTCCAGAAACTTCCAAAGCATGCTCCACAAATTTAAAGGATTCTGTAAGCGCATCGTCCCATATGGAAAGCAACTTTAACAGATGGTTGCAAAATGCGCGGCTTCATTTGTATGGCGGCAAAGCGCAAAGAAAATTTTATTATTACCATGCACCACATGATTTTTGATTTTGCCTCAAAAAGAGAAAGGCTTGATTTCGCCCCTGCGCAACACACCAGAAGTTAGAGTTTTTAATTTCTGTTTTTCATTACGACATCGTATTTTTCATGAGCAGGTAATACCACTGTATTGTTTTCGGGACTTTATTAAAAACACCACCCGTTGCCTCATGTTTTGTTTTAAACCACGGTTTACAAGAACAAAAATGAAACCTTTTACGGTCTTTTCAGTCTTTTGTCTTCCTCGTCGAACGAATATCACATCGGTTATTAGACCTTGTCGAAGATTTAGTTCTCGGATAACGCCGTTCTTCCGAAAATATAGAGTTGTCTGAGGTCGAGAAGCCAAGGCCTAAGGAAGATTGATCAATTGACACAATGGGACCAGTTTAAGGCTTAATGAATTGATTGTAAGGATGTGTGAAGTTATTTAGTTTCGCAAGTTTTTCGCCGGTACGACAGAAACGTTTTAAACAGCCGTACTAGAGAAGCGAAACTGCGAAAACGCTCGCAATTCATCGACAAGCAGAGAGCGGTAAAGATGAAAAACGCGAAGCTCGTCAAGTGTTTTTCTGGGTCAATTAAAAGCCACTTAAACCAAGTGTTTTCATATTCTAATAACCGAAATTGTTTTTGTGTTCGTCTGGTTATAATGCGAAGAAACCGCTCGTTGAGAAATGAATATTCGATCTTGAAAGGTATCGGTTTCAAACTTAATTACCACGCGCTCTGCTTCGTCTATTTACAATTTAACACATTAAAGGGTTTAAACCGAGCCGCTTAAAACAGCGACCTGCTGTGCCGAAACACAGTCGGCAAAACAGATCACCAGCGAACAGACGGCGAAATGGATAGATTTGCTTCACAAGTGAGGATGGAAAAGCCCTCTGACCAATCTTTGGCTGGCTGATCAAACAGTTTACTCAAGGATTAATAGCCCGAGAACCATGCGACGCTAGCATGATAGAGCGACTGAGAACTGACCCAGTTGAGCCGCAAATCTCATTAAGAATGGCCAAAAAGAATGATCTGCGATAATAAAGCGATTCAAGCTACGTTCATTAAATGGCTTTGAAAAAACATTTTTGCCGACTGCAAAATAAATTAGTAGCTTTCCCATGGCGAGGGGCACGCCGCTCGAATAATCCACTTGCGCGCAAAATAAAACGAACAAATCTTCTCTGTATACTCACGTTCATCCTTTTGGCCCTGCCCAAAGAACGTGATGATATTCTCCTTCTTGTACCGCATAACTGAATGCAGCAATTTCCAAACATTGCGCAGGTTATTTCGGTAGCGCGGCCGACTTGTGAATGGATCCCAACCGCCTGAGATCAAGACTCCATAATCGCACATGTCGTAGGTACAGCGGTTTGGAGGTTCGGGGCGAGCTCCGTCATTCCCGAGCAAGCAGTGCGCGGAGTTGTCGCTGCAAGGTAGAGGGAAGTGCTCTTTTACGCCACAGCTTGCAAAGGACGTCATCTTAAGGCTATGCTGGCATTCAAGAAGCTGTGTTCGAGTGTCATCTTCTTTCGAATAAACAAGGGGAATGAAGTTGATTTCGCATTTGACTCGCATATGGAGCAAGTTTCTACAATGCCTCTTCTCTGCCCTCCGAATACATTCGTCACGTCCTAAAAAAAGATGAAACCATGAAAAACTCACTGTTATATTAATTTCACGAAAAGAAGTTATTTTTCCCACGTAGGGAGCCCGATATAACGGTGCAATATTGGACTGCGTGTTTGTTAAGTCCGTTTTTAGGCTAATCGATGTTTAGTCTGGACTGTGACAAGATATTACTATAACTTTCAATATAAAACACATTTTGGCGGCTGGTACAATATCCATGTCCGTCAGTCATAACAGCCCGTTATTAATGCGCTGTTAAACCGCAGTGATCATCGTAAGGCTCTAAATTTAAATCTTGCTATCGAAGCCCGCAAAATTGGCACGATACGAACCCAGAAAATGACAATTTTTTAACGACGCAAAACCCCTTAGAGAAACCCGTGTCGCGCGCGATGTCACGTACACTCGCGATTAACCTGACAGTGTAACTATTCAACGGTTAGAAACCACTTACCAGTGAAGACATGAATTCCATTCAATCTCCTGTTACAGACGGTCTGATTCACGTCGAAATCTACGAGAAATATGAACACAATATGGCCGAAGTTTGCGTCGGGATAGGGATCTAGGACGAAGACGGCATCGTATGTGTCGTTACGGTGGGAGTGCTTTGTCAGGCGCCGGCGTTTTCCCTCCGTTAGCATGACTCTCAGCTTTGACTTTTTTTGGCCTTGTGCCGTGTACAACCGCACGGTCCGCGTATCCAGATTGGCGAAAGTGGAGGAATCGCATTGAGATCCTTTAGAGAGCGCCCTGCATGGGTTGTTTTGCAGTAAGGCTACTGTTGTGCTGACGCGCTTTTGCCAAGCTTCTGACGAACCATTTCCCACCTGCGCAAAGTTGCCTTGGATGCTGAAGGCGCTAAGAACGTAGAAGAGTTTCACCACCACAGACGCCATTTCACTCGGCGATTTCATCAAGTTCCGTTCGCTTCCAGAGGTAACACTGTTTTGATAAAAGCGGTCAATCAGTCAGTTTTTATACTCAGCAATAACAATAAACAATCCCGTATTCCTACTGTGCGCTTAACGAAACCGCTACTTTTCTGTCCCTAAGGTCGCTGGACTCTGTATTAATTGATTGCTGGTTTCCACTGAGTGTATTCCAGAGCGCACAGGGTACTTAAAATCTTTCCTTTTACAAAATTAAGTAACACAATTGATGATTGGTTCGCGGCTTCTTCTAACACGGTGTTAATTATTTTGGTAATACGCGGTCAACTTGGGTCGGAGTAACTGCTAATCGTTTTTCTTTTTTTCTGAAATCTCCACAAACTAGATTCAAATAATGAAGTAGAATTAAGTGACACGCATACATTTGGCGACTAAAGAAAGAAAGAAAGAAAGAAAGAAAGAAAGAAAGAAAGCCGACTATTTGAACGAATTTCTGGTCGCGGGTGCACAAAGTTTCAAGAGGAAAGAGAATAGAAAAGATTCCCACTCGCTCAGCAATTGATGCAAACTCTGCCCCGGAAATCCAACCTTCGGCTAAATCACGCCCACTGCGCCAAAAATTCGCAATAACTGGTGTTGAAAAGAAACGCAGTTTGCGGTACGCCTGAACTGCATATCAAATCGGTGGTTTACGAGGAATTTTCCGCAAAGGAAGACTTAAGGAACAATAAAAAAATTCCCTGACAAGGTCATCATCAAACTGTTTTCAGATTAGAGTGTTTGTGTTGCGAAAAGAATCCCTGATCGACACTTCTCCCGCAAAGTTTTCATTCGGAAGGCGTGATGCTGTGTTATTTGTTATTGTTTGCTGAAAGAGCGGCATTTTTGCAACGTTCTCTAAAAGAGACCTGAAAGAGCCGCGCGAAAAATGATCTAGCTAATTGAGCCTATGATACTCCTGGCTGTTAATAATATTGCATTCTTAAGTCGCCGAAAGGGCAAACAAAGGACGCCAAAGTAGCTATATTTATTTTACAGATGACGACCCTGTTGCGGATTCTCTTTTATCCAAGATGGAATATTTGTAAGCGCACGTTTTTCAGCGTTGAGCCAAAGAGTGACGTACATCTTATAAAATCATTTTCTAAAATAGGTCACTTCCTTCCATCATTCTGCCTGGCAATTCATGCGCGACGAAGTTGCTATACTTTTAACATTCATAGAGGTTGTGATAATGCGGAAAACCACACACTTAAGAATCGGTAGAGAGATTTTTTTTTTTTTTTTTTTAAATTNGAGAGATTTTTTTTTTTTTTTTTTAAATTCTCTATTTCAGGAACAGCATGTCAGTGAAATTCCTTCATGATTTATAGACATTTCGTTATTACGTCAGTTTCACATGGTTCTAGCAATTAAGATTGTCACTTCAGAGAATACTTCAGTAATACGGAATCGCGACAACAGAGGGGCCCCGCTAGGAAAAAACTCGGCGGGGTGGGGAGTTACGAGCGCGTTTCTGCCATGTCGACAATATGTTTCTTATTTCTGTGTTTCGTATTTACAACTAGTAAAGCTCTCAATGGAAGTAAGCCACTTCAAGTTCTGTTGTTATTCTATCGGCGTCCCTGAAAACTTATGACTTTTCCATGACAGAATTTCCATTGCTCAGATTGTTTAGGACTGAGAAATTGCCAACCGGCAGGGGATAGCGGTTTTAAATGGCAGGGGACTTCGCAATGAAGGACGACATCGGACGAAAATGTTACATGTAACCAAAACGTCCCATAATTGTTGAGCGGAAATTGAGACATCAGTTGGAGGCATGTCAAGGCAATATATTTTACAACAAGACAGCACGAACTGAAAGAAGGGACGTCACCGATTAAACAGATATATAGACAATGCAGGTCGGAAAGTCAGTTTTCACAAGGAAACAGAACACAAAGAACTAAATCCTCTTATTCACCGATGCTTTTTTTTCTTCCACACTCAAACGATAAAGCCACATTTGCTTGTCGCATTATGTATGTCAGTATAAGAGTGAATTCGGCAGAGTTGTGGGGTTTTCACTCTCGCCACAGTTGTCCATAGAACAGACCTTGCCGATTTAGTAAAATGACCTAAACATTGCCTTACCAAAAAAGAAGCCTGCCGTCGTAGCATGACAAAGAGATTTCATCGAGTTTGAAACAAACGACACCACACAAAAAAGTTCTCCAAAATTATACAAATTGGGCGCACTTCTCAAACGAAAATCTTTCAAAAGCAATTCTACCAGCCATTATAAGCTTATTAGCCAAAAGGCCCTTAACAGAGTAAAATGAGTGAATTTAGGCCACAAAACGCTAGGCGGTCCGCAATTGTTTGTTTCGCAAAATAGCTCGCCGCTATTGCCCTTTGTTCTAAGCGAGCGGAACATAACTCAAAAGCACTTTTCAATTCAACTTTTCAATAGAACTTATTGTCTTAAAAATATCGGAACCGACTGATAAATATTTTAGGAACATTCCGTCACTTAGACAAGAAACCTGTTCGGATCCCGTGTGTTCGGGCATTCTTAAGTTTTAATTGGAAATTTGTTTTGTGAGAATCACGCCTAAATTGCATGCAAAGTTTTGATTTGAAATCGTCGTTGTTTTAGCCCCTTCGAATTTTTTGTTGCATAACAAAGTTCACAAAGGAGAACTGTTGGAGGTTTCTTACAAAGGCGAAAACAAAGCTATGCATGGTTTCGAAAATGGGGAACAAGGCTTATTTTCCTGTGGTCATCACTGGTTTTCTAAAAATTATAACATTTGGTAAAACTCACAGGTCGCAACAAGGAAAGAAAGCGCATGAAAGCTGCGTAACACTGGAAAACATTTACAGAAATTGTTCTTACCAGAATCTTTTGTTTATATTTACGTTTCATATTTTTGAAGCATATGGACGTCAATAGGTTATCAGCCGTTTTCCCTTTTCAAAATGTTCTCCGTCCACACCAAAACGTAAAGCAGGCGTTTTCAAATTCCTCCGGTTTAAAGAGCGTTAACCAAAAGCTCGGTCTTCGTGACCGATTAGTGGACTGTAGGCCTGACCGTAGAAATAAATCTGCGCTTTCAAATTTCTCTGGCGTAGTGTGAACGCATAAAGCCTCCCGAAAGTAAGGCCTCAAATCTTAGACGCAAATATCCTGCCAGTAATCTGGAGACCTTTCGAATCTAAACCTGACACATGGTCTTATTTTAGATTTATCTCTTAGAGAAACAATAAATGCATTCAGTCATTTATTAAATGGTTTTTTCGATTTTACAAATCCTGTCAACCCGTTTTTTCGGAGACTTTAAGGTTCATTGACTGACTAATTGTAGAATCTGCTCTTGTCGGCTTAATTTTGCTATGCTTATAGAGTTCTGTCTCGTGCAATTCTTTGAGTAACGGCTAAAGTTCTTTGAGACGCCAAGTCCGTTAATAATATAAGTGCGAACATCATCGAACGCAAAATTCTTTTCGACAATAAGCCCCTCAGAAAACAAGCCTACCCCCCCAAAAAGCCACATCCTTTTCAGTGAACAAAACCAAAGTCAACTACACTATACGAGTTGTCTGACTGTTTCAGACCCCGTCCGACACTACGCCGGCAAAATTTGAAAGCGCAGCTTTATTTCTACGGTTAGGTCTACGGTTCGCACTAATCCGTCACGAAAACCGAGCTTTCGAAAACGCTCTTCAAACCGGGGGAACTTGAAAACGCCGGTTTTGCGTTTTCACGTGAACGGAAACCATCTTGAAAACGAAGCTTTTCGAAAACGGCGACGTTACGATAATCATGTGATTTCCCAGTCAAAGTTCTCCTCATGCAAACACAAATCCAAAGTGACCGATGATTGCTGCGTTTTTAAATTCCTCCGGCGTAGTGTGGACGGAGAATATTTGATACCTTTTCAGAGTGAAAACGCCGTTTTCGAATTTCTCCGGCGTACTGTGGACGGAGCCCTCAAAGAAATTCTGACGTGAGCGCACATTAAAGCCTCCCAAAAATAAGCGCTCAAATCTTAGACGGAAATATCCCCTGCCAATAATCTGGAGCCCTTTCGAATCTAAACCTGACACATGGACTTATTTTTAGTTTTATCTCTTAAAGAAACAATAAATGGATTCAGTCATTCAATATAATTTTGTTTCGATTTTACAAAGCCTGTCAACGCGTTAGTTCGGAGACTTCGGGAGTTCATCGAATAACTAATTGTAGAATTCGTTCTAGTCGGCTTAATGTCGCTCGCTATGTTAAGACAGTTCTGTCTTGTACAATCCTTTTGAACAACTGTTAAAGTTTTTTAAGGCGCTTCCTTCACAATGTAAGTGCCAACAGAATCGAACACAAAATTCTTTTCGACAATAAACCCCCCGGAAAACAAACTAACCGAAAGAAAAAAGCACACAAACACACATCCTTTTGAAGAAAATTAAGGTCACGTTCGCTATCTACGAGATGTCTGTCTGCTTCGGAGTCTTCACTGCTTTAGCGGGAAGATTTGATACAGTGATTCTCTATATCCGACAAACCAGGTTTCATGCGATCCATTTATCAAAAGCTAATAAGGGTATCAAAAACCTGTTGTCTCATTAAAAAGTAGTTAGACGACTACGGTAAACCACGAACATGGCACTTCTGACCACTTATCTTGATTGTCTCGAAGTTACAGCAAAGTAAATGATGAATTTGTCATGTCCATGTTGGGTTTCCGCGTGGAAAAGCCGAGCAAATCTGTACAAATAGCTGTGCCAATGTTTGTCTATTTTACCTTCGTTCGACTAGCCTGGATTATAACACAGCCTTTTTATCAATTTGAAGTTGGTAAAGATAAAGGAACCGCCATAGACAGATAGTGAGGCTGACGCTTCGATGTTTAGCGCTTCGTTAGTGCTTTACTTGCCCGACGCAACCCAACATTTTCTTTAGCAATTATCCTTTGTCCATAACTTGGGTTTTACTCCATTTAATACGGAATTAGACTTTCTAGCCCCAGAGCAGAAGAATGCTCATGCAAAACGGGTGGAAGTTATCTAATTGTATTAACTGTATTGGTAGACACTCCAAAGGATTACACTCCAAAACCTCAGTACAGGTTTATGCCTTCTTGGGGCCAAAAAAAACAAGCGACGAATTTCCCTCCCAAGAGCAGCGCGCGCTCGCTCGCCAGGACTCAGGGAATGAACAAATATGGATCCACATATTTCCAATCTTCAGGTTTGCGATTTGATATCAGTACTGTGAAAAAAGCCATCCTATGGTCCAATTTATAATACGATCAAGACCTCAGTACATCGAACTTAATGAATGTATATTGATCAAAGATAGCAAAGGTCTTAAAAAAACCCTTTGACTTGAAGGAACGTTCTAGTAAAAAAATAAGAATGTTTCACGCTTGCTTGCACAGGACATAGTTTTGATAAAAACAACTGCGCAAATTCGTTTTTGCATTTTTCCTTAACTCTTCAAACTGTGACCTGCGTTTTCGCGTGTAAATCACTTCTAAATTTCTTCTAAGTTGCATGGAAGAATTAGATAGGTGAAAAAATCGCCAAAAAGAAATTGTTTGTTTACCAGAGTGACATTTTTTTATGACAAAAAAAAGCAGGAAGAATTTTAAACATAGTATTAGCTAACTACGCGTGGGACATTTGCAAGTAAGAGGAAATAGAAAAACATACCCGCCGGACGAATAAGTGGACTCAATTGTGTAAGTAAACATGTAAAATCGGGTCATTTCTTACCTAATTATCGGTCGACGCAATCGCCACATTTTAGGATCTTAACTAAAAGTCATTCACATTTCGTTGCTATCAGTAAAAATAGAGGCGAACAAACAAAAACAAGATTCCTTTCGTTTCATGACTGATAATTGAAATGTTGCGCGTTTTTTCGGATCTATATTCTCTCCGTGAGACGCGCAATAAAGGGACCGGCAAAAAGTGAGGTCTGGTAGAGCAAAAAGGTGAATCTACGTGCAAGAAAATACGTTAAAAAGGCCCAAATACTGACACAGGCAAAGATGAAATTGCTACGAGAAACATGGAGGAAATACTTACAACGCTTCCTTCACGGCCTCCAACAGAAACACCAAGTTGAAACGGAACAGGCAAAAACACAGGTGTGTTCACGCCACCGGAGTATATACATACAAACCGATCCCAGCAATCTGTGCAGTCCTTCTGTTAAGTGAAAATTGATTCGTGGGGCCAATTAGTTGAAGCACTTGAACTGCTCCCACGGCGATTATCCAGATTAATCCTTATGCAATGGTTTGCTTTTAACGAAACAATGTTACGTCGGGATTTCAAGTAGCCCCCTCCCTAGAATCTGCGTCAGAATCTTGAATATAGACGACGAAGTGGACGAAATCTGACGTCGGATCACTTTAAGTCTGCGTCTGGAATAGTTTACCCACCGGCTATGATAGCATTTTGATAAGTTATTATGCTCCGAGCTAGCAATTTTCTGCTGTTATGATAATGAGGAATTATTTCTACAACTGTCTAAGAAAAATAGGATGCCCATGTTGGCAAATATCTAACGTTTGGACACTGGCGTGTCGGCATGGTACATTTCAGTGTTCACAGCGCGTAGATATCGATCTGGTCGCGGGTTTTCGAGATTCTAAGCCAATCAAAGAACCCGCAACAATGGAAAAAGGTAATTTGTCGGAATGTAATTAAACTTCGTAACCTCCCAGACTGAGTGTCGGATTAAACGAGAGCGAAAGTGGAGTAGTTTCGGGATGGGAGACGGCCGAAAATAATTCTTCCTCTCTTGAGAACAATGATAAGCGCCACCCAGCGAGAGTACGCGAGAACTAGCATGGCCTACGGACACTTCCGTGGACGTCAAACAAGATGAGAAAAGCGGCGAAAAATGGCACGGTACGTCGCCTTTAAAATGAGAGAAAGCCGTTGTCGGCGTAAAGAAAACTTCAGCAGATAGAACTCAACGAGAGAGAGCGCAAGAGAGCTGTTGATAGAAGTTGGCATTCCGAAACGAGAGAGAGAGGCAGAGAATTTGAACTTCACTAGCTCTCATTTTATCCCACCTTTACCACGATAATTAACTTAAGCAAACTAACCTCTACTGTGGGTAAAAACTCGGCTGCTGTTTTGTTCCTTTCAGAGTCTTAGCTTTCCGTTGCAGCGAACTCATAGACCATCTTATCTTTACTCGAATGCTGTGCTCATATAGTGCTCGAAACTTTTCCTATTTCAATTTCTCAAAGCAACGAATATTTACCTTATCGGTCCGCTACTTGATAACAAACCAAGTGCTTTCATTCAGTTTACATTTCCGTCGACGGAGCATAACTTATAATTTCTTTTCGAACAACCAGAGAAAGCCGGCGATTTATAAAGAAGAAAATCACATGACGTTCCGCAGCTGATTGGCTTAAAACTGATTTCTTCACAGAACTAAAAAGGCTTTTGTTCTGTAAACTGGGCGGAAAATATTTTCTTTTTAAAGAACAATTTCACTTCGCTGATTGACGGGGAAAACATTTTCTCGACAAGACTACTTTCGCTTAGCTTATTGACTGGGAAAACATCGTGTAACACGATGCAGCCAATAAGAGAGGGGCTGCGAATCTCATCCAATCAGACGAAGGGCCCGTGACATCTTTCTCGCCATTTTGATAGTATTCGGTAACCCCATCGTATGATCAGCTAGCTGTTCAAAGTTGTTTAGTAATGAAAGAGCCCCAACCATTGAGTAGATCGCTGAGGTGTTAAAGTAAATATAACAGTGTCTACCGCTCTCAGAATGTCGCCTTCTTTCAGAATGCACGCAAGTTACACAATCTGAAAACAGCCGGAAATATGGAAGGCACTAAAATGTCCGACGAGGAAGTTATTCATTACAAGATTGCAAGCATTTTGACAATTTTGCGTCTAACTCCATCATTCAGTAATTGCAAGCACTTATGGCATTATTTTAGCAAAAGATAAGACATTATGTACAAATAATTATAGAGAAACAACGCAAAGCAATCATGCGGAAAAATTCTTCCTTCGTTTAATTTTGTGGCTGACATAAGTTGTGTTGATTGCGGTTATGGAACTACCACAGCTTAGTAAAGGATATAAATAGTGAATAAACCTTGCCTGTATTTCACAAGAGACAAAATATATCCGAAGAATTAGTTAGAAAGCTCAAACAGTTCTACGAGTGCCTCCTAATTTAGGAGACTTGAGACATGATCAGTCTTTTAATGGTCGACTTGGGTTGCTTTCCTTATTTAACACTTAGAAAGGGTCCCCTCAGCTTCAGCGATTTGGCCTTTGTTTCACAGCTAAACGCTGAGGAAAGGTCCATTAGCGGATTGACAGACTTGGGAGACATAAACTTGGGAGCATTGCTCGCGTGCATAAACTTCCGTACACTTTGCGGTTTAATTGTAGAAACATATACGACAACTGTGCGCGCTGACAGCTACACCGTCTACTCTTATTTCCAGCCAACTAGTAACTTACCAAAAATGCACTCATCAAAAGCCATCTGACGTTTAACCGCTTAAATGTTCTTAAGTTCTGCCTGTTTTACTGTTTGAACGATTTTCTAGTTCTGCCCGCTTCCAGGACGCGCGCGAAGACCTCTAAATGAACAAAGCGTTTGTCTTTTTTGTTTTGTCTAACCAGAGGCGCACAACATCACCGTTACGACCCTAAAAGAAAACTGCATCAACAGAGAATAACACGTCGAACTACTTTGTTTGCTCGCACGGGGCAACCCTGTGCACGGAACATTCCGTCGGTTATCAAACTTGTGCGGTGTAATCCTAAATCTGTGTCATGTCAAAAGTTCAACCCAATAAACGATTTTAAATACACATTACACTGCAAAAGCAATTTACGAACGCTTCAATTTTCGACTCGAAAGAAGAAACGGAAGTAAGCAACTACGCAGCCGAGGTAGGCTTAAAAACTAAAGTCTTGTCAAGAAAATTTCTTAGTCACGAAAGGGTGTTCCAACTTTGCAATCTAGTGCTCTAGACATTTGGCAATAAGCTTTTTTTCTTTTAAAAAAAAAAAAAAAAAAAAAACATTCCAGCCTTACCTACAAATGCCTGGCGTTGAGTGTTTTCTGTGTCAGTTGTATCACTGGCTTTGGCAAGTCAGAGGGGGTTTCAGGTTCTTAAATAAGCTATATAGCATGCATGTACACGCCGTTTACAAGTGATACAGTTAAATGGATAGATTTACCAATTTCCTAAAACCGCCCCTTCCGGAAATTCGACCACAGATCAAACTTGTAATGCTGTATACATCGAAGTTTCCGCAACAGGACTCCTCGAGTTGAAATTTCAAAACAAAACTACGTCCAAGACATGGAAGAGAAGGGCCTATTTCCTTCCTGATTTGTAACCCCCAGCGCTCCACCTACAAAATTTCGGAATCTTTTGTTTTGAGAAGGAAATGTTTTGTTTTTGGACAATTATTCCGTCATTAATCGTAAAAAGGCTGGAAAGTACGACGGAAAAGGGTTTGACTTAGAATGAAGACTATGTCATTTTGCGGTTTAGACGGCCAATTTCTGAACGAAACTGACCACATTCATGAAAATTCCACGTGAAAAAGAAATAGTTAGCGATTTTGCGACATAACATTTGCTACAAGTCATCCCGAACACGGCCTTAAACATGGCAAGAAGACAGAATTTCAGCTAAATCCGTTCACCTTGGGTGGTCGGTCTTGACACATTTAGAGCGATTTGGAAGACATTCAAAGAGATAAATGAGAGGATAGACGTATGCCCTTAATTTCATTAAAAAGCCGTTCTCGCATAGTCCAAAGGTCAACAAAAAATGGTAAGTTATCACTTCTATCGTTAAAATTTTCCAAAAAGTTGCTTTAAGTTGCGAGCACCTTTTTATTAAAACCATCTTTATAAAAAGCAAAAAATGTAGGTTGATAACGTCACAAATTCTCCCAAAATATGTGCACTATTTTTGAACGTTTTTGAAAACTCTCTTATAATTAACCACCGTTCACAAAAATTTTAATTCAATCAATTTCAAGGACTATTCGCATCTTTTGAGTAATATTGCGGAACTTTAATCCGTCGGCTCTGGGCATTAGAATTCTTGGCACGAACGTTTTGTGTAAAATTGATCGAGGTAAAAGCGGCAAGGTGAAGGTAAAAGTTCACTGAGGTAAAAAAGGAAAAAGCGACATTAAACAGACGATTTCCGAGCGGAAAACCGGCGGCAAACTATCGCAGGAAAGAAAAAAAAAAAACGAGAAATGAACACAATGAAAATAATTGTTGTCCCAACTCTAAGGCATATAGGCGACTTCCGGTCAGTTAGGTTGGCGCGAGAAACGGTGAGAGAGACAACATGGCGCAGTACTCTTTCCCTTTTATTGTCTTTCGATCGTTTTCGCGCAGCTCGCTAACTAGCTGAACGCCCAGAACGGGCTATCCTGACAGGTGTTTCGCACTTTGTTACTAGAAAAGCGGGGAAATAAACAAGCATCCCGCTTAAGGGCAGAATGTCTGGAATTTTCTCACCTATAGGAAGAGACATTATGTGTCTAACACGCTTCACTTTTCATTCAAATTTTCCTGATTTACAAGATTATTCTCAAATCGAGGAAAACTAAAAAAAAAAATCAAAAACAGAGGATAAAGAAAAGAAAAGAAAAGGAAACAAACACCAAAGAGATGGAAATAAAAGAAACCTAAACAAGGAAGGCGAGTCAGATTACAAATACGACACACGCCATAAAAAAGACGACTACGTCCAAGTCACGATTCCTTGTCTAGGTTTTCTCCCAAGGTTATAACAATTTTATTCTTCAGTAAAATTCAGTCTCCGACGTCGTTACTGACATTTTTTGCCTGATTCAAGAGCAACGCAAGAACAAAAGCGAAAAGGAAAAGCAGGATAATCACGTGACCACCTCTTACTCTCGTTCTCGGAAAGGACGCCATCTTTAATTTGAACAAACAATTTTGTTCACCAATAAAACTTTATTGTACATTTATGTACATATTCATAAAGATTAGTTAAAATATGATTACAATATGACACTTTTCCGCTTGCTTGTCAGTTTGTTTATATTTACGAGAAGGATATGACCGTTGAGTTCTTCGAGCGATCTGTCACGTCTGCTGTATTAAATCACGCACTGCGGTATTAAGTCACGCACGGAACGAAGGACTGAGGTCTGCAAAGAAGGCATGTCGCATGGCGTCCTCCGCAGATATTCTGTGTGCTGGATTGAGGACCAGGAGTTTCTAGGAGAAAAAAAGAGGGTCGCGTTGTGAAAAGTAGCGTCCTTTTACCTTGCTTTGCAGGCGTCACGCAACGATTGGTGTCACGATTGTCACGCAACGACCAGAAGTGGACAGGTTGCGTGGCTGTCCAAACAGCGCTGTGTTTGGAAAACAGGATTAAAAGAAACAAAGAAAGAGTGTACATTACCAAAAAACCGACTAGCTCCAGGAGACCACCTCAAGCTTATTAATATTGCAGACTATTTTCGTGACCATCTTAATTGACTAAAATTCCAATTATGCAGTTTCATTTTGGTACTCGAAATTGCGACCGATGTGGTTGCCAATGCCACTAAGACTTTCTCCTTGGAGAGTAAAAAAGTCCTCGGAAACTAAGAAAAGCCGTCACTTTGATGAGTATGTATCTCGTTGAAATCAAAGAACACGTTTCTGTAACAACTTTCTTCGTCCTGTTCAGCTTTTCCTGTGAGAAAAATTGGTCTAATCACGTGAATGAAGCGTGTCTACCGACAACGACGCCATTATTGCGAGGCGCGTCGTATAGCTCGACCACTTGACCAGCGGATTTTCGTTCAGAAGATGAGGTCAGGTTGTTAATCCGCCATCTTGGATGGCTTCGTGGGTTCTATCACGACTATGTCTTTGCCTGATGTAATCTACAAACCAAGCTTCTGAAACATTCCAGTTACTTTGTTCACTTTAAAAGGTTGTGGCAAGGTTGTTTTCCACAGGTGTTTTACCATATTTTGCGGTTGAGTCATTTGAAAGGAAAGTATAACGTTTAATTCGATCTGCACCATAAGGTCACAACCAATAGCCAAATAATGAGGCTAGCAAAATCCTATTTGATCTCAAATCAGTTCTTAAACTACCTGGTGACTACCTTTTGTCCTTTTTCTTTGCCAGACACTCAAAAAGCGCCTTAAGATTATTTAAATTATCTTCACTTTCTCTTTGTTTATCTCTAAATCCACTTATCTCTAACTGACCTTTGGCGAGGGTACAATTAATTACACCACCGATAGAGCGGTTTCCAATGAGTGTCGTAAAACTGAAACCCAAGTTATCACTCTAGCCAATCACAAAGGACACAGACAATTCAATGAACCAACCAAAACTCATAGTAAATACATGTAGCCGACGAGAACGGCGGGAAAACGTGTGCCAGCTAGTTGTGATTGATTCTGGTTTTACTTCATTCAGGTGACTCTCAGGTGATCGTTTGAGTCTCCTCGAGATGGCGGCTGGAATTTCGAATAGCGAAAAACAGAGATGTTTTCATAGTCTACTAAAAACTTTCTCTATTTTCCAATTGCCCATAATGCACTCTGTTTGCCCTCCAAATTTTGCATAAACTATTGTTGTGAAATACTCTTGGGAGGTCTGCATATTCCCAAGAGCNGGGGGGGGGGGGGGGGGGGGGGCAAACAGAGTGCATTATGGCCAACTGTAAAATAGAGAATGGTCAATAGTGGCGGCTAATCTAGCTAAAATGGTCACCGCCGTGTTGGTACAACAAATCAAGCGAGTTAACCAACAACCGTTTGTTAACAGACAACAAAACGACCTACGTCGCCTTTCTTAGGCAGCGTCCACACTACACCAGAGAAATTTGAAAAACGCAGCTTTATTTCTACGGTCAGGCCTACGGTCCACACTAATCCGTCACGAAAACAGGGCTTTTTTTCTTTTCTTCAAACTGGAGGAGTTTCGAAACGCTTTGCGTTTTAATGTGGACGAAAAACATTTTGAAAACGAAGCTTTTCGAAAACCATGGCGTCACGATAATCGTGTGATTTCCCTGACCGAGTTTTCCTAAAACACAAATCCAAATTGACCGGTGAGTGCTGCGTTTTAAAGTTCTTCCAGCGCAGCGTGGACAGGGCCTTAGCGAGCAGTAAATCTCCAGCTGCACACCTGCAGCAAATCTCTTCCTGCGGCAGACAGCTTAGGGACAACAACGGCAAACGATACCGCACCTCCGGCTTGCAGGCTTGAAAAGTCCTGAAAGTTGATTAAGACAGTGGTGGTTAAATTAATAAAGCTACGTAAAACGATGGTCGCGTTTCTTCAAGCGAAATGCCACGCATCTTGCCTTACGTCAGGAATGTTACCGACAGTAGCACGAATAACGGACGGACGGAATGACTGAATAAATGAATGGATGGAGGGATGGGTAAATAAACAAAGGAAAAAAAATTATAACTTCATTTCTCAATCTATTTCTTTATGACTTCGCAAGAACAAATTAGATATTGTACAAAGTGCAGCAAGCCCCAACTTGAACGGGCTGTGCACGATCATTGAATGCTAGTTGCAACGAACGTAAGCTCGATCTCCGCTGCTCCCTCGAGTTCGGTGTATGTTCCTCCCCGTCAGTTCGGAGGAAAGAGTGCGGGCTCCTTTCCCGAACAGCGGCTTGTAATCGAGCCTTTACAACGAACGCAGAAAAATTGATAAAATTAGCGTGCTAAAATGAATCGTCACCTTATAATCCGGAAGTTTGACAGCGTTTGGCCATGTTTCTTCAGAAGGTGGACCTAAAATTCTTTGCTGTTGTTAAGGAACACATTAATTAAAATTATACCAAAATTCTGAAGACAGAGAAGAAATCTACGATTTAAGGTGGCTCAGAACAGTTTCCAGCAGATTTTGATGGGTCATTATAGCCCCTCTTTAGCACTTGATGCTACAATCATGGTATCAAAAAACTGCCCAATCATTGGTGAACACATTGTCATCATTTTCGTGCCACAATTGGTAACCATAGCAACAGTATGACCTGCTAAAAACACCCTTAAGTACAGCTTTAGGGGATTATAATTAAAAAACAGCACGGTGAAATGTTTTATATTATTAACTTTTGATAAACATGATAAGACGCAACTTTTGGCAAAGTTTTAGAAAATTCTGTACATAGGGTTCAGAGCCACCTTAAAGTTTTGAAAATTAAAAGTGGCTCTGAATCCTATGAACAGAACTTTTTTAAACTTTGCCAAAGGTTGCGCCTTATCATGCTTATCAAAATTTGAGAATATAAAAATTTCACCGTGCTGTTTTTGAATTATAATCTCCTAAAGCTGTAATTAAGGGTGTTTTTAGCAGGTCATACTGTCGCTAGATGGTAACCTACTGTGTTATAAAAATGATAACAAAGAGTTCATCAATAATTGGGCAGCTTTTGATAGCATGATTGTAGCATCAAGTGATAAATAGTTGTTATAACGACGCATCAAGTTCTAAGTGCTGGAAACTGTTTTGAGCCAACTTAACAAATTGAGGTCAGTTTTTCATGCGTCTGTCTTGTCATATCATGAATTTCGTAATAACATTGTCGAAATAGTTGTGGGTCCACGAAGCGATAGCCGAATAATGTGGACGGGGCCTAAGGAAGCCAAGCGCAAAGATTTCGCTTGTTATTATTTACAATTGTGCCACTTATTTTACGCATATGACGCCTGAGTTTGAGCCCAACACGATTGATCTCTCACGGGCAAATACGAAAACAAATGAAGGTTGCAATTTCTTTCTTTTTCGCCTGTAATGTCGGATCTGAAAACACTAAGAGATGTAATTGCGTGCTTGATCCGCAAGTCTGCAATTGCATTTCTCGGCAAAACTCTGTCTACGTTGGCAGGAGGTTTATAGTCGAGTTTCAAGTCAAACGTTTTTAAAATTTATCAACTGCGCACAGTAATGTTCCTCGCAGTTTTTTTCAACCAAGACAAGACAAGCTAGTTTTTCTTGATCTTGCGTCATCATTAACCAATCACAGTGCCCGATGGCAAACTTCCCGCTACCACTTTGCGCGGTCATGTTCTGTGAAAAAATTTCAACTTGGCTCCGAGGCTTGGAGAAATAATACAAAAGAAATCATATCGAGGTTTAGGAAAGAAGAAATAAGTTCTGTTGTTTTGTTCACCCAAGCCTCGGAAGTAAGTCAGAAGTTTAATATATCGAAATTGGCTAGTTGACATTTTTACAGTATACCAATTATATTTTCATATTAAGTACTCAGCGGATACCTCCTGGGGTTTTGGCCTGGTGGCAATTATAGTTAGCAAAACATTTGCAGTGAGAAATGGGTTTCTCTATGTAAAGAATAGGAAAGTGCATTGTGTTAAAACACTAACGAACAGGAAAGTGAAATTGTCACAGAAATTGAGCCGCACTCAAATATCGAACATAAAGGGCGTATTCATTTCCAAACTGCTTGACTGTAATCAATCAATCACGCACCGGGAAAACTTTACAATCAATCTAATAATATCGTAGTTTCAATAACTTGTCAAATCACTGTTTATAGCCACTCCGAGGATTCAGTCTAAAAATATATACATCCTTTTTATCTCAATTACACACTAATTTCCTACAGTGCCACAACAAGGGATATGTGCACTTTTAATCAGAAAAGATTAATTTGCCGACCGCTTTTGAGAGACCGAAAGCTTTCCAAATTAAACCATTTAAACCGACCACCAGGATTAAACACAAATCAAAAAAAAAAAGAACAAGCCAGTATTCAGGTTATTTGCATGCAACGTTTGACCCAAAATATAAAAGTGTTTATTTACAACGCGAAGTGACCATAGGGAACCGCGAAGAAAGAGGTGGTTTACAGGGTCCATGCAAGAAAAGGTCGCACAGTGTTTGACACATAGACCAAACAAATCAAACGAACACTGATCACAACCGAAAAAGCTATCTCAGTTAGTAATGAACTAGAGGTTTTCAATGACATCAGTGGCTCTTAATTATTCCTACAGTTGGCTGGTCATTTCGTTGATTGTAATTTTAGGACTCACTCACGTAACATTCTTTTACATTTCGAAATTTAACGCCAAAACTTCCAACTGAACATCAAAAACCACCTCTTTAACAAGGAGTTTGGACTCTGCTTGGATCTCAAACACCTGGGCCAGGGTTTTCGAAAGCCGGTTAACGCTAACCCGGAATTCACAGTTAACCGAAGTATTAATTTTTCTTGTGCATAAATGTTTTTTACTGCTCACGTTTTGTGTAGTTTGAGCTTAGTCAAGGTCAAAGCTGAGGGACAAACATTATAAACAGAAAACCTCACCGAAAAGTTACAAAACTGAAATCAAAACTGGGTTAGCTTAATCGGGCTTTGAACAACCCGGCCCTGAGTTGTAAGTGTAAAAATTTCTTCAAATGCCACGCCAGCGAAGGCCTCACAAAACGACTCGGCAATATGATTACAAGATACTGTAACAGAACTTTTCCCTTTAGCGCAGAACTGTATAAAAATTAAACTTAGAGCCATTGTGTGAGTGCTTAGTATTTAGCCAAAAAATCCGCAAATTTCGATTGAAAGCCAAATGAATCATAAAACAATTTGCGGAAAATCCGTTCGGAAATTGTAAACTATCTCGAAAGCTACATGAACTCTTCTCTGTCCGTTTGAAACTGATCGCCGGAAATTTCCTTACTCTTTGCTCATTTCTCCACCAGGTTCTATAGTTTCCCATCAAGGGGAAGCAATAGCCAGAAACCCAGAAATTACAAATTGTAAGCGCCATCTTTTTCGGGCGGTTTGCTCAGTAATTTTGGGAAAATAAAAGCCTTGCAATTATTCAACGGTCTTCTCGACTGGTTCCTTCCGACAAATGGTGAGCACTCCGGCAGTCTCTCAGATAAACGAGCACCGTACACGGTAGGTAATAAATTGATTTGTTTTTCGGCAAAACCATCTCAAAAATTAAATCGACGATGTCTATTTTTGACCGCATTCGCGTGCACGCGTTTTTCCGTATTCACCAACATACTTTATAGTAAGACAAGACCCTTGCGTGGGTACGCCCACGCGCGCGCGCGCGAGAAACCGTTTGAAAACACTTGAACGAGGAAAGGTTATGAAATAGCAAGTAATTTCGCTTTGTATTTTTCTTTACGGCTGTTAGTTCAACAGAATTAACAACCATCGCAGTTGTAATCGAAATGCAACTACAAATAAAGTACGAAAAAAGATTTCGGAGCTCTAACGGGATTCGAACGTTTTTATCGGTTCAATGAGACGGCATGAAAAAAAAATTGTTTTTCTCTATTACATTAAAAGCATAAAGGAAACTAGACAGGAAATAATAATAATCAAAAAGTGATAAAACCAAAAGGACGCATTAATTAATCGTCAAACGAACCTAACAATGTTCTGTAGCCTGCATATGCAAGCGCCCACAAAACCTCAGTATTCGAAAAGTTTGGCCGCCATCTTGAATTTTTGAGGCAGAGGAAGGCTGGGAATAGCAAATTTCTAACAAGGGGGTGGGCGTAAGCAAGAGCAATTAGGGGGACGGGGAGGGGAAAGAAAACTTTCTCTCGCGCCAACCCATCCCCGTCAACCCTAAATCAAGCATGGTGGCTCGGTGAACGCTCGGCAGCTCATACCGGTAACTCGCGCTCCCTAAATAAAACGCTTACACTGCCGAATAAATGCACTACACTGCAGACTGCGATGAAAGACGCTATGTATTATGTATTTTATGTGTGAGACAAGAAAGTTATTCGTCTTGCTAGGTAAATAAAGTTTCCAACTTATGCATAAAACTTACAATGACCTACGTTCACTTTGATCAAGACCAAATTTGCATTCAACTCGATGCCACTATTTTTTAATTATTAGGTCATCCAAAGCAACTTAAAAATAATGTTTCAAAGACGGAGAAAAATTTCAACAGAATGGCCAATTTTGCTTTCTTGGCATGCAGTCACAAAGTGAAATTTGATGAAATGCAATCGACTTCCATCGTTGTAATTCTGTAGTTGTTCCCGAAATTACTTTGTTTTGTTTTCCCGTCGTTGTCATCTACGAGCACTAAATAGCTCGCCTGGCCCCGAAACAACCTGTAGAAACTTGCGCGTGAACTTTGGACATCCAAAATTACATTTGTAAGCAGGTTCACAATTCAAAACTTGCGTCAACTTGAGGCTTTGTTTAGCTATATAACTCAACGTGCTAGAAAAAGCCATCTTCGAAGTGAATTTTGATTTCAGTTTTGCAACTTTTCGCTGTGGCTCTGCGCTGATTTCTCTTATCCTTCAATTTGGACTTTAGCAAAAGTCGCACTCCACAAAACAATACAAACAAAAACACTTTCATAAAGGGTGATTAAAAATTCGATTGAGAATTAATCGGCTTTTTTAACTCTAGTCTAGTCTGATCTTCTGTTTTGCGACGTTCGTATAGTTGTCGCCGTTGTGGTTTCCTAAAACTACTTACCCACTAGCTTAGCTGTAAAGGTATTAGACGAGTATCCTTAGCAACAGAATCAAAATACAGCCAAATATTCACTTTCCTGCTGCGGTCAGCTTTTGCAAATCCTCTTAACGCTAATACAAAACCAGAGTTAATCAAAGATTTCACTCTGGTTCTGTATTAGCATTAATAGGATTTGCAAAAACTGCTGAGCACTTAGAACTGCAGACTTACAAGAGAAGACTGAACCATAACCAGACAGAAAGAATAAAAAGGTACTAAACAGAAATTGTGATAAGTTTAAAGACTTTTTCACAGTTGTAAGCCACAGACAGCCTCCCAAGCAACTGATACACATACGATCGATGCGTGCGACACAGAGAAATTATCGTCAAGTGTCTTCCAAGGAATTAACGCACAAAAGAAATAATTTAATTTAACTTATTGGCTTACTAACTCGACCACACAAGCAGCGAATTTGTAATTCACAAAGAGCTCTTCCCAAGAAGAAGCAAAGAGAAATAGTTACTGAACGCTGCCGAACAAACAAATTGTACAATGGCCCGCATCGCACGTTAGGTTTCGGCTAACGTTCTAACTTTGCTGTTTAACAAAGGTTGAGTGGATGAACTTACGTAGAGGTACGTGGCGAAATGTCATTCATCTCTGTGAGAACCAATGGGAACATATACAGTTTTTTGTCTTCAAAATGGCGGCCCGACATACACTAAATAAAAGTTTTTCGATTCGATGAATGTATTTTTCGAAAGTGCTTACTTAAGAGATTTCACAAGACCACAACGCCATGGCGGCGCTGTAGATTCCAGACTTGTCCAGGAGCAAGGAATTCACTGCGAACAGTTTTATAGTGAAAATATTAAGGACGTTCGCGTGAAAATTTTCTAGTCGATATATTTTTTTAAAGTTTTTACTGCAGTCAGACAATGAGTTACTTGTGTCAGAAATGCAAAAAAAAAATTGGGGGTCACCGTCTTCGTTTCAGGGATAAAGCGTGTGGAAAACTACCCTGATTTTGAAAAATTGGCGCACATAGTTCAGCATGGTCTACAGGGGTTCATAGTTAAAAATATCGAAGGTGAGTCGACGGAGGCAAACGATCTTAATCATATTTTGTAGAAGTGGGTCTGTTGCGTAAATAATTCCAAAGGTTACCAACGTTTTCACAAAACTTATCTCTTCAAGAGGCATTTGAAACCATTGCACAGATAAACAAAGAGCTAAAAATAACGGAATTCGATGGTGTATTTTGCAAAAAATTCAGACTTCTAATCGATAGATTTTCATTTTTTTCGCTAAACGTAGAAAATCAGTAGAGAAAATGATCCATCAAAAGAAAAAATAGGGGTCACCGAACGTCCAAGATCGTTAAATCCAGGCAAAGCTATAGCAATGGCCATCTGCCCTATCATTGTTCATGTTATTACTTAGCGCGCGCACCGATGCATGACGTGGCTTGTGAATTTGCGTAACCTGGGAAGCGGATAATTTCGAGTTCTTTGGTACGAACCAGGCTCACCAAAAACAATACAAAGTTTTAAGTTTCGTGAAGTTCAAAGTTGTCGTTTACAGATGTCTAGGAATTAAGTATGATCTCATCACTGGAGAACCGCGGTTCGGCTTCCAAGAATGTCGCGTTTCCCAGATTTTTGTTGTAAATTTAGCATCCAACATTCTTCGGACAAAAAAAATTATCTCTCAAGCATCGTTCAACGTGATGTGTTTAAACTGGTCAGAATATGTAACACATTTCTTAGTCGTTGACCCCTGCAATTTCACAACGCAAAATGACAAAACTCTATGTTCTACTTAGAGCAAGAGCAGTTGGTGACCTGACTGACCAAGGGGGAAGAAAATAGCACACTTTGGATTCGTTCGGTACTTTGTTCGGCTGGTCGGGCCGATTTTAATGGCGCGGAGGGAGAGGAAAAAAGAAGAATATGGGTTGCTTTGCAGTCTCTGGAGGAAATAAAAGCGCCTTTCTCATGTCTTAATGATTCCTGTACATAATGGTAAACCTTGAAAAGTTGTAAAAAAACGCTTGGTTAGCGACGTATTTACCCCAGTAGAGTCAAAAATGGGAAGCGATACCACTAATTAAAACTGAAGGGTTCAAACTTCATCAAAGGATACTTAAAAATTCGTCGCAATTGGTCGTCAATATCGTTTCCAGGAAAAAGCGGTCTGCCCCCATTCGCCATTTCTGAGGAGAAAATTCAAGGCATTAGATAAATCTACAAGCAACTGTACAGTTGAACCTCTATGACACGGATACCGAAGGGGCCAACCTAAGTGACCCTGTTGCGAAGGTGTTCGCGTCAAGGTAATAATATCGTCCCTAAGACCCACGCCTTTTCGGTCAGCGGATTCTGTACACATAATATGTGCACTCCGGTACAAATTGTGTCCCCATACATGATGTACCTACCCTGACCAAAAGGATCGCCGCTCTGGGAACAAGATTGTCATTGAAGAAGTAGATATCACCTGAATGCTGGTTTCTCTGGGTCTAAGAGAACTGTCTGTAATATTGAGCTCTCCTTCTCACGGAGAAGGCAAGCAGAGTCAGCTGTTCTTTATTGCGTTAGCTAGAGCGAAGAAGTCTAGGCATTCTTTAGTTCGTATTGATCGAACAGAGAAAAGTGTTTAGTGTCATTTGGTCATTGCTTTAAATGGTTTTCAATTTTCATGTGTTGGCTTAAATTTTGCCATTGCTGAGCCCTACAAATGGGTTGAAAAATTAGCGCAAAAGTACTCTCAGAAACCACTAAAACGCAGACGATGTTTTTTTCCCTTTTTCGACCAATCAGAAGCAAAACAAATTATGACTTAGCGTGCGCACGCCTCCGCACGTTTTCCCTTGTGTGGCCTCGGTTGCATGTTTTACTCTTCGAGTGTTGATTGGCTGATTGCGTTTAGGCTGATGCTAGTACCAGAGTTGCTCAGAGCGAGCATATGTAATGTACGCTTGAATTGCCGCAACACAAGGACAAAGAATGGAAAGGTTTCCATTCTACTCCGCTTGGGCCAGCACTTACGCTGCGGCAGTTCACCTGAACGTATGTTTGCGCTTGCGTTTCCGTCGTAAGTGAACGGAACTCAATCCTCTCAGGGGATTTGCGTTTGCCGTGATTGACCAACTTCGGTTTTTGCTGTTCGACTGCCATTAGAAAACAAAACATAAAAACAGCGAACGCGAAGAACAGCCATGAAGGAGACTAGAGAACTGTTGACGCCATATGCATTGCGTTCAAGATTGTTCATGCGCACACGCAAACGCGTTTAAAACGCGGTCAAGCTTATTTCTCTCACCTGCAAAAATGCAACCAGCTGACCACATGTCTATGGATGTCGAGTAAAGCTTTGCTCCCATGAGAACATCTGGAGGTCGGTACCACAATGTTACCACCTACAACAATTGAGATAAAGAACAAGGTCTTTATATAAAAGAAAATAAATATAATATGTCAATACAGAGGAATGTTTCCTCACCTCAGCTGAGTAGCATCTGACTGGAATACCAAAAGCTCTAGCGAGACCAAAGTCTGCAAGCTTGAGCTCACCATCCTGACAACAGAAAAATACTGATAAACAAATCCAGGGATCTATCTTAGCTACATTTCTGTAGTTTAGTGAGCTCCCTCTAAAGTGGACATACACAGAACACCAGCTGCTATTAAGTATCATTCATCGCAAATGAGCTAATAAAAGTGAAGGGCTGAACTGGTAAACAGACTTCAGTTGGTTGCCTCCACTCTCTCATGTCTGGCCATTATTCTCTGTGCAATTGGAGGGGAGCGTACCCCTTCTATGCTGACCAGCAGAAGCCGGTATTCCAGGTTACTGCTTAGGCAAGGGCCAACTTCAAGTGGTATGCACACATTTTAGAGAGGTGCTTGGTGAAGGTGGAAAATGGGAGAACCTGGAAAATAGCCCTGAAACACAGTCACGATGAATGACAAACTGGACTTACATCACTTCCAGCTGGAATCGACTGGAGCAGTAAAAGTAGGAGATAAGCAGTCAGCCAACCCAACCCTAGGAGTCAAGGGGCTGCTGCCTCTCCTCCCCTAAAACATGAATAGCACAGTGGCACAAACATCACTGAAATCTAAAACATTGGTATTCATAAGGAGCCCATTCTCTTGGCCTTAGGTGTCCCATGGGGCATGATAAGGATGAGTTTAGCTGACTCTCCCTTGTCAAAATTGTTCTGCTAGCCATAGCCACCAATGAAGAAAGACCAGTTTGCAATCAGATCCAGTGGCAAAGTAAAGTTAATCATATACTGTACCTTGTTGATGAGGAGGTTCTGAGGTTTGAGGTCCCTGTGAAGAACATTGCAACTGTGACAGAAAGCAAGGCCTCTCAGCAACTGATACATGAATGACTATGGAGAAATTAAAATAGTCACAAATTAGCACAAAATCAGCTAATGGGAAACTTTCAAATAATGTGCTACATCACCAGTGGGTAGGAGCCCCATCCAGCATTTTCACTCTGAGATGCATAAAATATTTTCCCTCCACAATATGCCAGAGAAATTTGAAAACACAGCTTACAATCATTGGTTGTTTTAGATTTGTGTTCAAGGAAAACTCGGGTAGGGAAATCACACGATTATCATCATGCCATCATTTTTGAAAAGCTCTGTTTTTAAATTCCTCCAGTTTGGATAGCGTTTTTGGAAAGCTCCATTTTCATGTGGATTGGTGTAGTAAGGTAAACGTTTTAGCAACACATGCTTCTGCATTAATCCTTCTTTATGTACCTTCACAACAGCTGCATCCACTTCTCCCTGGCAACTGTCAAAGTACTTTTTCAGATCCTAAAGAAACATTTATGAATAATAAATGTTTAATTAATATGTGCTGCAAGCCTAAACATAAACAACCTGTGACAAATCTAATAGCTTATTTCAAAAAGTAACCACAAGTAACATTATTACAGCCATACATGTATCTTTACGAGCTACGAAATTGTAATACTGTTACAAGTTTTATTACATGTACACCCAGAATATGTAATGTTTCTTATACTTTACCTGATCACAGTACTCAAATACCAGGGTTAACCTTCTCTCACTATGCATTACATCATGTAACCTAAAAATACAATCATGTGTTTAGTTCTCCTAGTAGCTAAATGTCACATCATACTTAAGATGTTATTTTGACGTTTTTTTTTTTTATGAATTAAAATTTATAAGGTCAGGGAGATGCAAAATCTTCTTGGAAAAAGATGAAAAGATGTTCTCGTAGAACTTTGTGAAATCTTTCTCCATTAAGGAGAACACACTCTACCTATCAGTGGAAGAAATCCAACCTACCAATAGTTGAGGAAGAAATTTAATGAAAATCTACAAGAAACCAGCAATTCTTGAATTTGGAAGCCTCACATTGTATCGTAATGTCACCTACCTTAACATTACATTGTCTGGGAGAAATGGAAGATTAACATCGCCATACATGACATAACAAGATATCAGATCCCCCACATCAGCGTGGACCCTCCACTACATGTACATACATTTGGTAAGATTTCTCGCAAACTTTGCAGTATCTAGTGTGTTTTTGTGAATTTCACGGGATTTCGCAGGTTTACTTGAAATTTGCAGGTCCACGACCATGCGAAATTTCAGAAGCCCTGTTGGAGTGGTGACCATTGGTCTGAAATTGGGTCTGGATAAAGAGAACCCTGCAGCACACCCAACCGAAGAAGTACCCTACTAGGCAAGAAAATTACTCTGATCCTTGAAGATAAATTCATGATCATTATTTAATTTAATTTATATTTATGTCATGGCTTGACAGCTAAAAAACTGTAATATTAGTTTAATGGAAGCTTGCAATTTGAAATACATGTAGCCTAGCTAGTATATTCTTGACTGATAATTTTTCTCCAGTACATGGTGACAACTGGATCTCCCTTGACTGTATGATACACATACATAATTTTATGTCAGAAGTAATTTCCTCGACTTGATAGATGCACAGGCATGAAAACTCTGCAGGTTGCCAAGACCTCTGACAGCTGCATATTAAAGATACACCACTGAAAGTAGACTTTTAATTAAAGCCAAAAAAACTCAAATTGATGATTATAAACTCGTCTGTTGATTTTTTGGTATTTCTTGGCCGTGTTTTCTACCATAAAATATACTGAGACTTAATAATTTAATTTCATCCTGTTCTTCAAAAGTACAAAATTGGAATCATTATCACAACAGCTAAGTTATTCATAACAGGAACAAACAAATTTCAGAGTAATTTTGTATCATTTGTAGCCAACCACTGATGTAAATCAAATTGGACAAGCTCAGATGATCAAAACAAAAATAATTATTTAATGAATTCTGTTGCGTCATGCAATATAGTAAGAATTAAAAGAAAATCATAAAACATATATTACTGATTTTTTTTTTTTTTTTTTTAAAAGACAGTATTTACAACAGTTTGGAGACCCTTTTTTGTGGTGGATTATAAGTAAAAGCATTTTCTATAAGATAAAATGATTAATTGAATGAATTCTTATGAAACAGCTGGCTAGCTTGGACCATGTAATGTATCCCTTCAGTTACTGTACATATAGATGTGCATAAATTACAAACAATGATTAAATTACACAAACACTGCCAACCAGGTTGTGCACTGTTAGAATCTCTCATGCCAACCCAAACCAGATCTGAAAGAATGTCTCATCTACTGCACAAATTTAAGTTGTGTTTTTTATTGTAATCCAATAGATTTTACTTAATTGAGTTTGCTTGGCTGAATATTGTTTACAACTGAAAATGATTAATAGTAAAGTAAAATATACATGTATTAAATTATAAAATGGAACATACATGTACCAAACAAAAAACCTCAACCATTTTAAATGTACGTTGAAAATTTTGTCAACCACAGAGCAGTCAAATTTAATGCTTAATGTAGCCATACTTGAACTTAAAATACAGGGAATATAATAATATATCTATACAATATAATGGGATTTCCTGACTTCTCAAACCATTGATTTCTTCACCCTTCCGATAGTTCAAACTAAAAGTTGCTTCCCTCTGAAGTTTTTTCCCTGTAATTTCCCCCTCCCCACCAATATCTTAAACTTCTGATTTTTTTTAAACCATTTTCATCCCCCTACAGTTGGAGGAGCAAGAAATCGGGATTCTACCACAGTGTGCGCATAGTAATTACAACCTAAGGCGTCAGAACCCAGCTGTCCTCTTACCTAACAATATTTTTGTGCTTGAGCTCTTTCAAAATGCAAATTTCTCTCAGAGCTGAACTTGGTATACCCTAGAAATGAGGATGACAAGATTAAACAATAAAGTAGAAAAACTTAATACATGTTACATTTGAGGTGAACTTCAGATCTCTGCCTCACTGCCTTGTAAAAATGGCTTACAAGCTTAGTATGCTGTTGTAGATACCAGAGAAATATAAGGTATCAAATTTCAATTACAACATAAAGAAGCTTAAAATCTTACTTGAATTTTTTTTCAGCAAAATATATAGTTTTTAAATGACCGTGACAAGAAATATACTGAAATGTTCGATTGACATGAATTGACTGTTGGCAAACAGCTGCGGCACAAATTTATTACAAGGCATTTTATGTTACAGTGTAGCTATTAGTTAAAGAATGACACGTTTTCGATTTCGAAATATCAATTAGAACAAACTGTGACATGATACAAAAATATTATTTGCATGAAATATTTCCATTATCTACATTTTAATATCCACAAGATTCTTTCGGTTAATTCCTGTTTAAACTCTATGAAAAAGGAGACAATTTCAATGTAAAGGAATAAAGACTAGAAATCGGGAAAAGCTCTTATCTCATCAGATCGGAGCTGTACTGATGAAGGAAGAAGGCAAAACACGGTCGTAAACATTCCAAATAATATTTACCTCATCATCCTCGTCGAGTCGTACTCGTTTCAGCGCTACTATCTCGTGCGTTTCTTTGTGTTTTGCTTTGAAAACGGTTCCATAAGTACCTACGGATCGTTGACGACAATGAAGTAAAAAAAAATTTCCCGCGCATTACGGAATCGAAATTAAAATTCAGTAAACCGATCGACACTCGGCATTCATGCACAAAAGCAGGAGATGGTCGAGCCATACCTTCGCCGATCTTCTCCAGTTTTTCATATTTCTGCATAATACGATACCGCCTTTTGAACAATCAACATTCGGAACTCTGTCTGGGATGTTTTAGGGCTCAATTTGGCTAAGACGATTCGGTGAATTCACCGACCTATTCATCGATGACAACAAAACATCATTTATCTTCGTCCAGGCCTTTGTTGATATTTGTCGGGGATCTGGAACTAATGGGAGTCTCCGCTCTCGGAAATAGCGCGGGCTCAACTTCAGGTATCGCGTAAACTTTCTTCGGGGTAAGGGTTAACCAGGGCAACGCCGGGGCGATTTCGAATGAAAAGTTTGCCAAAATTCTCTCCTTCTCTTGGAATTTAAGCCTCGCAGATGCTTAATAATAATGAATTTGACGAGCAAGCATAATTTGGAGTTTGGGAATTGACGTTCGCGCTTTCAAGCTGGTTTTTCCGTCGGGCGCCAAAGGAAGGTGAGCTTATAATCAACGTGTTTACCTGTGTAAACTGTGAGAAATAATTAAGTTTTGGCACTATCCAGTTCTTTTGATGTGATATTTCAATCGTCTATTTCCATTTGTTCGATCGAGAACCGAAGTTAATTTAAACATATAAACTTCTTGTGAACCAACCGTAAAATTGAGTACACATAACCGGCCCGCCATGGCGTGGGAAAATTAAAAAGCCAGATTTGCAAAACCAAATATCACTTTAACAATGGAAAATTAAATTGAGATAAGGGTACTTGAAAGCTAACTCTGGTAGAACAGAAAAATTCTGGCCGTTTTGGTGGGCAAAGCTATGAATTTTATTACAAGCTGGCTGATGGCGCGTGTGCGAGTTGATATTACATACGTGAGATCTGGCGAGATTTGAAAACTAGACATCTTTGCAATTAAGAGCATTGTTTTGCAGCTTGCCAAAATGTATGACAAAGTAAAATAAAATTATAAGATTTGTGGAAATTGTAATTTAGAAACGAGAATTATTTTCACATAACCCACCTGACTACCCGTTGGAATGTAATCTTACGCACTTTGCCTCGGGGCCTGGAACCTCCCAACGTCTAGTTCGAGACTTCACTCTTCACTTAATTAAATTAAGTAGTCGTTTAGAAAAACCACGGGGATGGCATTTGTGCGAGTGAAATGTTTTGAATAAGCCTTTTTCTTGCTAGATTTTACTCCAGACGATATTTGTATTGATTGTTTTTAATTTAAAGTTGCAATCTTTACAGTTCATTAGCTTCTTTTTTATTCATGATAATTTGTACGTTCTACAAAGACCATTCATTTGTAAATTTCCTCTTCTAGAAACATGTCTCGTCACGTATTTCCAAATTAACATTTATAATGATCTGATAATTTTAAAGGCTGTTTAAATTCCCTTTAAAATGAGATACACTAGAATCATTTAGTCTGTATTTTATTTGAGGCTTTGCCAATATTTTTGTTTACTATGTAAACTATACCGTCAAGAACTTACATGTATAAAATTTTCATCAGTCTGGCATCAGTGGATTAATCAGTCAGGTTTGCTGGGATCGAGCTAATGCTCAAACAACATGAGTTGGTTTTTCAAAGGGTTGGGAAATGTTACTGACTGCTTTAAATCGCTGTGCACCACAATGAATAGTACAGTCTCTGGTTTGTTTATTTTACCCACCAGATAGTGATTTATGTGCTGGATAGTGTTTTACAACCAATTAAAAAAAACAGTATTATGTTTGTAAGAAATGCAAAAAGATCTGCCGATATGAATGATATTCTGTTAACTAAAAGAAAAGGACAATGAAATCCTGATGTCTCAAACTCTGCAATAACTCCAATCCAAAGTCGCTTTCGTTAGATTTGTTTCACTGTACCTTCACCCCTGAGATCATGAACTCTCGACTTCTCAAGCCAATTTTCTGTTCCATTAGAGGCTCAAGAAAGTCAGATTCCACTGTAGTTTGATACAAATCTGGATGTTATCCTGATTGTCTTGACATGTAACATGGTAATATCAGCCTAGCTACCCATTCATGGATATAGTTGTTTATTTTACTATTCATCTTGTTATTTTATTAATATTCACTTCTTAGCATGTATAGCTGAGCAGAGCATTGGGTAATCTTTTAAGTACTAATTTAAAGCAAATATAAAAAGTAAACAGTCACTACAAGATATTGATTCGGAGTGTTGATCTGACTTTTAGTCTTGAAAGCTTTTAATTAATTTTCCGTATATCACCTCTCTTACGGTTTCCCATGACTAACAACCATTATCATATGGCAGTTTCTTTATGTTCAAAAAAAAAATCTTCTCAGACTAATGCTCATCCGTTTAAACTGTGTTTGAACTGCAGGGGTTTCATTAATGTTTTCTGCAGAAGGGCAACTGTTTTTCACATGCAGGCAAAACTATTTGAACTGAACTTTGTTTTTAGAAAAACTTTCCTCTAGATGGTCAAACCAGCTGGGGAAAATCGTCTTCACAGCTGGCTTAATGAAACCCCTGGAACTGTTTGAGCCATTTTATCAATATTCATTTGCTATTATTTAAGTACAACCTGTGGGCGCTCAGTCTTTCAGCCAGAAAATTTTCTTCAGGGCCAAAGTGGCCCGTGAAGACCTTTTTTAGGAGCCAGTTTTTGAGGGAAGGGGCCAATAAATTGAAAGCTACAGAAAAAAAATGGGTCAGGGTACCAAGGAAAATAAAGCAGTTTATTAGGATCTAGGATAAAATTTAAATAGTAAGTGCTTTTTGAAGTGTTTCTACTTGATAAATTTCTTTTGAATCAGATACTAGTTGGATCCATGCATTACAAGAGAACAGTCCTTAGGTATACATGACATAGTCAATGATCAAGGGTTTGTAATGTATTATAGGGCGATTTCAAACTTGGAAGTTTTCCAATGTGAGATAATCAATACAGCAGAGCAACAGGATGGATTGACTTCTCTTCTTATGTTAAATGTTTTAGAAGCAAAGATCTTTCAATATGAATGTCTAGAAGGACATGATGTGTGACAAAATAACCGGATTGATCGTCAACACAGAGAAATGTGGTCACCATTATGGTGACTAAACCAGAATTTTTGCCGAACTTTGGTCGCCTAGGATGAAATGTTAGTTACAATGGTGACTGTATCGGTCGCAATTTCAAGCCCTGGGATGGCTGTTAAAATACTACGCCTGGTTAAGCCTGTAGTCTTGTAAAAGGAAAGGGCCAAATTGGCCCTTTCTTCGTTTTTCTGGGGGCCATCTCTGATTGCAACGCTGGATTCCCACAATGGCGTGCGCTGGTGGAAACACTGGGCCCTTTCCTTTGGTTTGTTTATTCATATCTGTTTTGACATATTCAGCTGTTCTGAGACTTAATTTGGATATAGTGCCTGTCAAGGAATCAAATCAAGTCTGTTCCTCATTCACAGAGGGAAACAAGGATAATTATAAAGAAAACAGTAGAAAACAAAGTTAATGTAGGTTTATACTTAACTAAGAAATAAATGAGCTTTTAATATGGGTGCAGCAACCAAAGTACATGTAGCAGTGGGAACTTTTGTGTTGGCTACTGCTTATTCACAGCGAAGGAAAGGAAAAGCACACAATGCATATTATTGTGTGTGCCTTGGTTAGCACTCCTATGACTTACAGCCAAATGTACATACTGTTAGGCCACTGCTTCAAATTTTTTCAAACCAGTTTCATTTTTTTTTTTTCAAACCCATAACAAACTTGTGCTTTAAGGGTGAATTGCATTCTGCATACAATGTACATTGTATGGGTTCTGTACGTTCAACAACAGGCAAGTTCACCTACAACACCGAGGGCTGGCCATCCAGCATACTCAGTTGTAACAGGTGTTACAAGTGTAGCCCTTTATGACAACTCTGACATAAGTCAATTGTTTTTTCTTGTTTTTTTTTTTTCAATCACGTCTTTGTCCGAATAACTTGTTTTTAACTGCCAGTAGCTCTTCAGACATTTTGTCAGTATGTCAGTGTACATACATGTACATAATTGCTTACCATAACAGGTGGTAAATTTTCCTTTACCTGTTATCATCAGAATGTCCAGATGCACATTTACATTTTTGTAGAATATTTTTGATGCCAAAATTTTGTATTCAACCTCAACTATTCTAGAAAGAGACCTGTATTTTTGTAGAACTTTACATGTACAGTGACTTGGAAGGGAAGATATTGTACATTTTTTGACCAGGTTTGCATTTTCTTTTTCGAGAGTTTTTTACCGTACAGACATGGATTGTTATGTAGGCAAATGATAACACTTGCTTTGGCACCAGTTCTGATATATATATATTGATCAGTGTGCTATTGTGTAGTGCATAATATATAAAGTACATTGTAAATCACTGAGTTTGGTCTCTTTTTTATTAAAACTTTTCATTCTCTTCAGAGATACTGATCAAGCTAAATGCTGTACAGATGGTTTTTAACCTAAGGATAGAAACTTCCTGAAGTTGTGATACCAACAAACGGTAAGTATTAGACTTAACAAATCATGAGAATTTCTCACTCCTATCCACACATGGACACATACTCTTCACTTGTAATGACAAACAAAATTTTAAAAAAATGACCATACTAAAACTTGCCCAGGGCAAGCAAAATCTGAGAGCAGCTTGTGCGAAGGGCAAGCTGGAGTTCAATTTTTTGCGAGCCCTTTAGAGGGGCAGTGCAAGGGTAAAGTGTCTTGCTCAAGAAAGACAGTGACAACACAGTGACCCCAAGCCAGGCCTAGAACCCAAACTACTCGATCTTGAGTCTAGTATACTAACTATTAAAGGTGCACTGCTCTGCCGAGGTCTCACTTCAGTTGACGAAAGTAAATCTGCAGACTGATTAAAATATTAAGCAATACCTTGGTCCATTTCTTTTAAGAGCCATGACTGAAACAGGAGGCCAGGTAGCAGGGGGTGGACGGAGCATGCTGGACAACATGGTTGGAGTCAGTGACATGGTGCTTCTGGAGCCCTTATCTGAAGATGGCTTGATAGAGAACCTGTGGGATAGATACAACAATAAAGATATCTATGTGAGCAATGATATCCAGTGTTCTATAACCATTAGCAGTTTTGTTCGCACCACATACCAATCAATGCCATTACTCCTATTAAAACGTCCCTATAAAATTCTCCTGCCCCAAGAAAATAAGCCCCTCAAAACTAAGATGCAAAATTCCTTCCTGACAAGTAATAACTAATTGAAAGCCCCTCCAAAAACTAGCCTACTGTAGAATAAGCCCACCAAAACATTTTGTAGTATTAAAAAGTAATGCTTGATGGTAAAAGAAAACATAAGTTTACATCCAAGTGATCACAAATTTTATATTGCAGACATACATTGGGAATGTGGTGGTATCAATTAACCCTTATCGCAAATTCAACTTATACACACCTGAAAGGATTTCTGAGTACAGATCTAGAAACATCTATGAATTACCCCCACACATGTGAGTATCAAGCCTTATCCTAAAAATTTAGATTTTATGAACAAACTGGGCACATATAATTTTTCAGGTTGTTATTGTAAGATAGTTTTGTGCTGGTATGTAGATTCATTGGTATGCAGGTTACGTAATTATGCCAAGAAGTTAGTATTTAAGGAGTTTGTCCTTTAGGAGTTGTCACTTCGACGGCATCTCCGCTTTTGATCAGTTCATTTTGGAAATTTTGTTTTAGTAAATTTCCGTGTTTTTGTTTACTATGTTTATTGTGTTAATAACTATCCTAGGGCAATTTATGTCTGATCAATAAATGAGATGCCAGCTCGTATATGACTGATGTTTTCTTACTTATACTAAGTTAGAAATTATTTTGTTTTCGTTTCACTGCAGTGGGATTAGACAACAAATGTATTTAACTTATTAGTTGACAAGGGTGCAGCCCGAGAAATCAAGAGCGAATTATCTTTATATGGGGCTAAATGTAATTTAGGCAAAGTTTGAGTCAAGCCAGTGCTGGCCAGCGGTCTCTCAGGGTGATCATGCCCAGTGGGGTCTCATATGAGGTTTTGCAGGGCTTGCACATACATGTACGTGTTTTGCTTGCCAGCTGTGTGAGAATGTGCAGTTTGCCTTTGAGTGCCATTCGTGCCTGTTGAGTGCTTCTTTTTTATTGTTAATTAGTATAAATCTAGTAGCTGTTCAAAACTTTAATCTAAATCCTCTTCAAAGACATACACTTTGAAAATGCAACGAAGCAGCCCCCAGTGCACGCTGCTGGGCCACTCGCTTTCTATAACAGAACAGTAGTAGCATAGCCAATCAGAAAATAGCATTTGTGATAGAATGCTAGAGCACTGACAGGGAATAAACTTACTCTGATTCGCTGTGTAGCCTAGCCAGCATGTGGCCAAGCCCAGTGGCTCATGGTCTTTGTCTGTCTTGTCTACTGAAGCAATTATTTGCTGATAGCGATTTCAGGGCATCTGACAGGATGTGGTGGTGTGGATCTGCATAATTCATTAACATCCACATCTTCTGCATAATCAGAGCTTAAAAACAGTTCTAAAAATTGTTTCATATTGGTGATAAAGCAGCTACTTACCATCCCCACAAGCAAAGATTCTGAAGAGATTGGAATGATTGTTTCCAAGTAGTTTTGCTCCTAAAGAGTGACAAAAACATGCCATTTTGTTAGAGCTCTTGGACCGGGTTGTTCAAAGGTTGGATAGCTCTGTGTAGATGGTAAATTGGCATCCAATGTGTAGTGCAGTTGTATGATTGTTAAAACTTGTCTAACTGGAGAGTGATTTATCTGGGGCTGATAGTGTTACCCATTTTTTTGACAACCAGGCCCCAGCTATGAACCTTGCATCTATTTTGAGTGCAGTGTGTTACTCTAATAAACACAATTATACCTTCCTGGCACAAGTCTTAAACCATTGCTGCTTGTTTAAAACAGATTCGCTATTGCTGATGTCGCTTACCGATCCATGAGAGACTACAACCAGGACCAGTGTATTCTTATCACTGGGGAGAGTGGTGCTGGCAAAACAGGCATGTAGTTTCAACTGCTCCAGAAAAACTTTTCATTTGGCTGGTCACTGTCCAGAAATACAGGACTTGTTAATTGAAAATATTAATTTCAACTGTGCAAGAAACATGCATGATAATCAGTGTTCTAGATGATGGACAACAAATATCTTCTAAAGGTCTAAAGGCGAGGTGAAATCCTTTCAATTTAAATTGGTAAATACTGACCTTGGGTTCAAAGTACAAATATGGAATGAGCTCAACTTATTCAACCTGCCATGTGTGACATGTTATATACCACCGTCTCCCACTGTACTCTGCTTTTTGCCAGTGACGGGAAGGAATGAAATAAATATGGCTTTGAAAGTGAGTTAGATTATTGGTTTGAAAGTAAGAAGTTAGACTTCTAACGTGATCTGAAGGTCTCAGGTCAAAAGATCCATCAGGCGTATTCAAGACAACCAGTTATAGTTGCTCATTTGAAGAAGATGAAGCAACAATTTAAAGTCTGGCAGAGTCAACTGCATTTAAGAGCAGCCAGCAACATGCTTAAATATTTACTGTCTCAACATTTTTTTTTGCTTTAGAGGCATCAAAGGTTGTTATGCAGTATGTTGCAGCGGTGTCTGGCAAAGGCTGGGAAGTGGACAGGGTCAAGGAACAGTTGCTGCAATCTAATCCAGTTTTAGAAGGTGAATGAAATAGTAAATGCGACATTGAATTATTGAATGTTTCCGCATATATGCTACAGTATAAACATGTAGGACTGCTTTTTTAATACAAGTTGATGAATAAACAAATAAATAAAAGAACAATTATTGAAACAAACAAACAAATGGACAAGCAAACAAAGATTGTCAAAAGCAATTGTGTGAACAAACGGGCAATTTAATGAATGGAAGTATAAGTGAACAAATAAACAATGGAGCAAATTGGTAAACAGACTGTGGAAGGTATGAATCAACGAAGAAACAAGCAATGTAAATGACAGACTAATGAACTTTGGTTTGTTTGAACAAAAGAGTAATGAGAGAACTACATTATACACCACATTGTAGTGTATAACGTTTGTATACATTACAAGGCAGTACTACAAGAGATCGGATCTGATCTGTGTAGCCTATTTTCTCCACCTCGGAGGATAGGCCACTGACAAATAGAACAACTACAAGGGAGAGTTTTATTAAATGTTTGTTGTTGTTGTTGCAGCTTTTGGCAATGCAAAGACACTTAGGAATGACAACTCGTCACGATTTGTAAGTGCACGATTTGTAAGCTCAAGAATGAATTGTGTACAGTTTACATGTTTTTCTGATTGGAATCTTTCGTATATTTTTAGGGCAAATACATGGACATTGAGTTTGACTTCAAGGGAGATCCTGTTGGAGGAGTTATCACTAAGTGTAAGGATTGGGAGGCAATTTTNACGCTGCTGGGCCACTCGCTTTCTATAACAGAACAGACGATGAATAGCATAGCCAATCAGAGAATTGCATTCATGATAGAATGCTATAGCACTGACAGGGAATAAACTTACTCTGATTCGCTGTGTAGCCTAGTCAGCATGTGGCCAAGCCCAGTGGCTCATTGTCTTTGTCTGTCTTGCCTACAGAAGCAAATTATTATTTGCTGATAGCCATTTCAGGACATCTGACAGGATGCGGTAGTGTGGATCCGCATAATTCATTAACATCCACATCTTCTGCATAATCAAAGCTTGAAAACAGTTCTAAAAATTGTTTCATATTGGTGATAAAGCAGCTGCTTACCATCCCCACAAGCAAAGATTCTGAAGAGATTGGAATGATTGTTTCGGAGTAGTTTTGCTCCTAAAGAGTGACAAAAACATGCCATTTTGTTAGAGCTCTTGGATCTGGTTGTTCAAAGGTTGGATAGCTCCGTGTAGATGGTAAATTGGCATCCAATGTGTAGTGCAGTTGTTTGATTGTTAAAACTTGTCTAACTGGAGAGTGATTTATCTGGGGCCAATAGTGTTACCCATTCTTTTAACAACCAGGCCCCAGCTGTGTATTTTGAGTACAGCATGTTACCATACTAAACACAATTATACCTTCCTGGCACAAGTCTTAAACCATTGCTGCTTGTTTAAAACAGATTTGCTATTGCTGATGTTGCTTACCGATCCATGAGAGATTACAACCAGGACCAGTGTATTCTTATCACTGGGGAGAGTGGTGCTGGCAAAACAGGCATGTGGTTTCAAATGTTCCAGAAAAACTTTTCATTTGGCTGGTCACTGTCCAGAAATACAGGACTTGTTAATTGAAAAATATTAATTTCATCTGTGCAAGAAACATGCATGATAATCGGTGTTCTAGATGATGGACAAGAAATATCTTCTAAAGGCAAGGTGAAATCCTTTCAATTTAAATCAGTAAATACTGACCTTGGGTTCAAAGTACAAATTTGGAATGAGCTTAACTTATTCAACCCGCCATGTGTTACATGTTATATACCACTGTTTCCCCAGAGCTCCCTAGAATGTAGCACTGTACTCTCCTTTTGGCCAGTGATGGGAAGGAATGAAATAAATATGGCTCTGAAAATGAGTTAGGTTATTGGTTTGAAAGTAAGAAGTTAGACTTCTAATGTGATCTGAAGGTCTCAGGTCAAAAGATCCATCAGGCTTATTCAAGACAACCAGTTATAGTTTCTCATTTGAAGAAGATGAAGCAACAATTTAAAGTCTGGCAGAGTCAACTGCATTTTAAAGCAGCCAGCAACATGCTTAAATATTTACTGTCTCCACATGTTTTTTTTGTTTTTTTGCTTTAGAGGCATCAAAGGTTGTTATGCAGTATGTTGCAGCAGTGTCCGGCAAAGGCTGGGAAGTGGACAGGGTCAAGGAACAGTTGCTGCAATCTAATCCAGTTTTAGAAGGTGAATGAAATAATAAATGCGACATTGAATTATTGAATGTTTGTGCATATATGCTTTTTTGATACAAGTTGATGAATAAACAAATAAATAAAAGAACAATTGTTGAAACAAACAAACAAATGGACAAGGACACAATGATTGTCAAGAGCAATTGTGTGAACAAATGGGCAATTTAATGAATGGAAGTATAAGTAAACAAACAAATAGAGCAAATTGGTAAACAGACAGTGGAAGGTATGAATCAAGGAAGAAACAAGCAATGTAAATTACAGACTAATGAAGTTTGGTTTGTTTGAAAAAAAGAGTAATGAGAGAACTACATTACACACTACATGGTAGTGTATAATGTTTGTATACATTATGAGGCAGTACTACAAGAGATTGTATCTGATCTGTGTAGCCTATTTTCTCCACCTCTGAGGATAGGCCACTGACGAATAGAACAACTACAAGGGAGAGTTTTATTAAATGTTTGTTGTTGTTGTTGTTGTTGTTGTTGTTGTTGTTGCAGCTTTTGGCAATGCAAAGACACTTAGGAATGACAACTCGTCACGATTTGTAAGNAACTACAAGGGAGAGTTTTATTAAATGTTTGTTGTTGTTGTTGTTGTTGTTGTTGTTGTTGTTGCAGCTTTTGGCAATGCAAAGACACTTAGGAATGACAACTCGTCACGATTTGTAAGTACAAAGTCATCATATTTTGCACAATAAACCGTTTTTCTTTTCAAATTGTTAAGAAAGCTCAAGAATGAATTGTGTACAGTTTACATGTTTTTCTGATTGGAATCTTTCGTATATTTTTAGGGCAAATACATGGACATTGAGTTTGACTTCAAGGGAGATCCTGTTGGAGGAGTTATCACTAAGTGTAAGGATTGGGAGGCAATTTTGAAAAATTGAGTGGGCATTTAAAAATCCAAGAAAATGAGTACTTTTATCTTTCTAAAACGTTTTTTGACTTGTACAAATTCTCTTAATGACATTTCACTCATTTTCATTGCAGATTTGTTGGAGAAGGTAATTGCAAGATGTGTGGTCATTTGTCCTTTATATTTATTTTAAATGTATTTTGTATGAATTTATAAGTTGAAAGAAAATAAAGGTTACAGTAACTGTTAAGTAGCAGATTTATAATACATGTAGTATTCACCTCAAATTGTGAGTATAGAAAGGTGCAAGATTTATGTAGTCTCTGCATTTTGGATACCAGTTTGAAAATGAAAAAATTTAAACAAGAACCTGTCTTTGATTGATTGGTAAATAAACGTTACTAATAGTTGAATTGGATCGTGGAGTACATACTATTACCGAACAGTTTTGAATTGTTTGAACAACAGATTGTGAGGTCAGAAAGACTTTGAAAACCTCTTTTGAGTGAAAAAGTGAGTGACATAATTATATTATTTTGCAAACAGCACAGACACAGCAAGAGAGAATGGCCAAACAGCATCAGGAATTTTGTTATAGAATAGGATTTTAATTTTTGAGTTGTTTGGAGTAACTGATTAGTTATTNTCAAGAATGAATTGTGTACAGTTTACATGTTTTTCTGATTGGAATCTTTCGTATATTTTTAGGGCAAATACATGGACATTGAGTTTGACTTCAAGGGAGATCCTGTTGGAGGAGTTATCACTAAGTGTAAGGATTGGGAGGCAATTTTGAAAAATTGAGTGGGCATTTAAAAATCCAAGAAAATGAGTACTTTTATCTTTCTAAAACGTTTTTTGACTTGTACAAATTCTCCTAATGACATTTCACTCATTTTCATTGCAGATTTGTTGGAAAAGGTAATTGCAAGATGTGTGGTCATTTGTCGGACTTTATATTTATTTTAAATGTATTTTGCATAAATTTATAAGTTGAAAGAAAATAAAGGTTACAGTAACTGTTAAGTAGCAAATTTATATATGTAGTATTCACCGCAAATTGTGAGTATAGAAAGTTGCAAGATTTATGTAATCTCTGCATTTTGGATACCAGTTTGAAAATGAAAAAATTTAAACAAGAACCTATCTTTGATTGATTGGTAAATAAATGTTACTAATAGTTGAATTGGATTAAGTGGAGTACATATTATTACCGAACAATTTTGAACTGTTTGAACAACAGATTTTGAGGTCAGAAAGACTTTGAAAACCTCTTTTGAGTTAAGAAGTGAGTGACATAATTATATTATTTTACAAACAGCACAAACACAGCAAGAGAGAATGGCCAATCAGCATCAGGAATTTTGTCATAGAATAGGATTTTAATTTTTGAGTTGTTTGGAGTAACTGATTAGTTATTAAGCTAAAATACTGTTTTTCCTTTCAGTCACGCGTGGTTCACCAAGTACAAGGAGAAAGAAATTTCCACATTTTCTACCACCTTCTTTCTGGTGCCTCTGATGAGTTTCTTGGTAAATCATCAATCATATGTAATGCTTTTTAGAAAATAGCTGAAAGAAAACATGTACACTGATTGGTTTAAGATTGTGTTTCTATAACTAACTTGAGCTGTTGATGTAATGATGGCATGGACAAAGAGAATTTACATTTTGATGATCAAAGGAAACATAATGTATAAGTTTTTTTTCTTTTTTGGGTTGTGGAATTTTCTAAAAAAAATACAACAAGGTCTTGGTGTTTCTATTGAGTTACAGAAATCCTCATGGAAGTTTGTGAGAACTCGAAAAAGCTGTGGAAACACTTGCCTGTTGGCCCATGTTCCCACAGCATTTCTGGTTCTCCCAAACTTCCACTCTTGTTGCAGAAAATTTTGCCTAAACCATTTAACACAGAAACAGTGCAGCTCATCACTTTCTGCTAATAAGCTACCATTTTTGCTATACAGGCAAAATTAATCTCGAAAGGGACTGTAGTACTTACAATTACCTCAATCAAAGTGGATGTACAAAAGTCGACACAATTGATGACAAGAAGGACTTTTTAGTAGTTGAGGTGGGTATATATGCTTTCACCTTCTGTAAGACTTACAGCATGCTGGGTAAACAAAGTTATTAGGGCCTCCGCAGACTAGACACTAAGTTGTCGACAACTCTTTTTTATCCGCAACTAAATGTTATCGACAACTAATTGTATCTGATGTGAACATTCCACACATTGGAGTTTTATTTGTCAATGTCTAAGTTTTGAACTAATATACAGGGCTCGTATGGGTCATGGAAAACCTGGAAAGTCATGGAATTTATTTTTCAAATTCCAGGCCTGGAAAGTCATGGAATTTCAACAATAATAATTATTATGCTTTCTGAGAATAAAAAGGCAAAAAGACAGAAAATTAAAAAAAAAATAACAGACAAGTCAGAAACAGGCTTTAGTTTCAGTACAAATAGACACAAGCATGCATTTTATCCATCATAATGCTGGGAAATACATATACGTTACATAGATGATTGTTTTGATACTACTGTGAGGACAGCTGCTTAACATCAGTCATGGAAAACTCAGAAAGGTTATGGAAAAGGTCATGGAAAGTCATGGAATTTTNTTTCACCTTCTGTAAGACTTACAGTATGCTGGGTAAACAAAGTTATTACAGCCTCCACAGACTAGACACTAAGTTGTCGACAACTCTTTTTTATCCGCAACTAAATGTTATCGATGACTAATTGTATCTGATGTGAACATTCCACACATTGGAGTTTTGTTTGTTGATGTCTAAGTTTTGAACTAATATACAGGGCTTGTATGGGTCATGGAAAACCTGGAAAGTCATGGAATTTATATTTTCAATTTCCAGGCCTGGAAAGTCATGGAATTTCAACAATAATAATTATTATGCTTTCTGAGAATAAAAAGGCAAAAAGACAGAAAATTAAAAGAAATAACAGACAAGTCAGAAACAGGCTTTAGTTTCAGTTCAGATAGACACAAGCATGCATTTTATCCATCATAGTGCTGGGAAATACATATATGTTAAATAAATGATTGTTTTGATACTACTGTGAGGACAGCTGCTTAATGTTGGTCATGGAAAACTGGGAAAGGTTATGGAAAAGGTCATGGAAAGTCATGGAATTTTGAAAGCGTAAAAGAGTGCGAACCCTGATTTATTCAATCCATTTTTTTTTTTTTTTACTAGAGGGCAATGGACATTGTGGGGTTTACTCAGGATGAGAAGCAGTCCATCTACACTCTTTTATCTGCTATCCTGAACCTTGGAAACGTTACATTTGACGAAGTTTTTGATAAAGGCAGCGGACATAATATGCATGATGCAGTTGCTCTCACAAATGAGAAATGTAAGTTGTCTTCAAATTATAGTCGTCCTAATTGAGGGAGTGGTACTTTTTAGGTGTATGGATGTTTTGTGGAAAAACTTTATATGTTTATATTTGTTGCAGTTCTATTAGTTACAGATTGCTAATAATCATGATTATAATATGGAAGTTTGCTTAACTTGACTTGTGCCAACAATGCCTTAAGAGAAAATTCCAGAATATTTGATCTGATTTCCAAGAGAGTACCTAATGTTCTTGGTCCATAATTGATCATTGGTATCCACTTATTGTCTCATGAATGTTGAGAGATACAAAGTTAAAGTTAAGTGCCCCCAGTCTTGCTCAAGACAAAATAACCCGACGAGGGTTTGAACCAGTGTTTGTTGATCCAGGAAGTACAGGGTTCTAGCCATTTGGCATCTTCATCCCCCACAAGACAATTATCAGGGCATTGACCTTTCAAATCTTTGTTACTATGTGATTGTAGATTTGGACTGGGCTTGTGAGATGTTGCAGTGTGGAACTCATTTACTCAAGGATGCCCTGACAAAGAGAACTGTGGAAGCTGGAAATGAGAGAATGACCACCCCGCTTACACCTGCACAAGTATGTATAGGAAAATTATGCATTACATATTGCATTATTAACTGGGTAAAGCATAGTCTCCTCTGCAACTGATTGTGCCTAAGTCAACACTCCCTGTCTCCACGCTGGGATGTGCTTCCTCACACCGCCCTGCATTTCCTTTCCTGTTGTTTGCCAAATTTTTGGTTGGACCAATCAACACCTTGTTATTGTATACGCTGCACCAATTACACCATATCTTGCCACCTTGATGTCTTCTTTCCTGCAAAAACCCTGACTGGCCATTGATTGGTGGACATTTTTGGCGCGAACTGCTGTAAGGAAATGAAACTGGGACTGTGATTGGTTAATTTCAAGAAAGGAATGTGTGTTGGTTTAAAGCAGCTGCACTGCCAGGATGGGGAGCATTGTGTGACTTCGGCCCAGGCAGCTGCAAGGGAGACTGCTGTTAAGCCCTGGTCAAATGGACTCGCAAGTAGTCACAAGTAGCCACAAGTAGAACTTGCGTAGAGACTTGCGTTGGGTTGGCAAACGGACTCACAAGTTTCCTCGCAAGTACATGCAGGTCACAAAAAAACCCATTCAAGGTAGACATGTCCTGTATTTCATTGGCTAATAATAGGTTAATGGACGTCACTCAACTTGCGCTGACTTGGGTTGGGTGGCTAAACAGTGAAAAACTTGCGTCGACTTGTGTCGACCAAAGTGAGTGCAAGTCATCGCAAGTCAACCCAAGTGTGTGTAGGGCCAGGGCTTTAGGTAAAGGGGGAACTTATGATTTTGTCACACAAACAGTTTTTTCCATGTGCCACGTATTTCCCACTTACACAAACTTTACTTCAGATACCATACACCTGTACCTAGTTGTTTTCACAACGAAATGGTCTGCAAACCCTTACTTTACATTCATCTGACAGTTTTGTGTTCTTCTGACAGGCTTACTATGCAAGAGATGCACTCTCTAAAGCAACTTATCGAAGGATGTTTTCTTGGTTAATTCAAAGAGTCAATGATAGTATAAAGGTAACACTTACTATAAATTACATCAGTTTTGATTGTGGAATAATTCTTTAGTGGATGAATTTCTCATAGTGGAATCCCAATTTTTGGAAACTCCAAAGGAAACCAAAATTGGTTTGAAAACTTAGGTATTTCTAGTAGTTGGGGGTAAGATTCAGTCTGTGTTCAATTGAGGGGAGGGAAATGACTTTTCGTTTGAGTTAGCAGGAGGTTCGAAAATATCAAGGATTCAAGAAATCAGGATTCTACTGTAAGTGCATTATTGCTTTCACCCAATGACACTCAATGTTTCTTTATCAGGTGAAAAAGAGGGGCAAGAGAAAAGTGATCGGTGTTTTGGACATCTATGGATTTGAAATATTTAAGGTACTAAAATAGAAATGTATGCTCAAGACAAGATCTGTTTATGTCCGCTAACTTAGGACTTCAGCATTTCCACCCTTTCAATCTTCAACTCAAAACTTTGGTTCTGCTTTGCACTTAGCTGCCACTGACTAAGTCATACACTTACTGTATAACCTAGAGATTCTGAATTCAACTCCCCCCACCCACCCCTCCCCATCTCACTGCCCCGCACTCAATGGATATGTTCTCGGTAAGCCTCAGTTCAACTTTCAGTACACCACATTGGCTGCTGGCTACCCTAAGTTTGTTGCTTGGCATTTCTTATTGACACTGCGTTTATTTGAAATGATTTCATTCGTGTCATGGACCAAAGTGAAAACTATCGAGGGTACCACTAGCCTAGTGTTTTCAATTGCTCAGTAATTTTTTTTTAAAATAATAATAGTAGGAAAAACGTAACAACATTCTTGATCAAACAATCAAAGGATGCTGATTGTTTCTTTTGCAGAGGAACAGTTTTGAGCAGTTCATTATCAATTACTGCAATGAGAAGCTACAACAGATTTTTATCGAGCTGACCCTTCAGTCTGAACAAGAGGAGTATGTTAGAGAGGTCAGGAAAATATAAAGAAACAATACAATTAACACAGGCAGGGGTTTCATTAAAGGCCAGGCACCAGGGAATTGATGGGCTTTGACCACCTAGAGGACAGTTTTTTCTTATAATGAAGGTGCAGCTGAAAACATTTTGCCTCTCTGTAAAAACCAGTTGTCCTCCTGCTGAGAATGTTAATGAAACTCCTGTACAGGTAAGCACAGGAACTTACAGGAAAACAGAATTAATTTAAGATCAGTCTGTTTTTTTCTGGTACATAGTTATAACTAGCCAAAACTTCGTAATGATAGACAAGGCAGTACTAATTATAGCATATTATTGTGGAAGTATGAAAGAATATTAGAGGATGGTTGACTGGAATAATAGTTCAAACACATTTTAAGGGGAGAATTAAAGGGAGCAATAAACATTTTAGTTTTCTTCTTCATTGGCCAAGTAGTACAGGAGGCAAGGAGATAATTATCATGTACTGGTTTCTTTAATAATTGGTTGAATGTACTGTCAATGCAATGTGAGAAGTATGAGGGGAGATGAAGTTGGAATTTCTGAATTAACTGAGTTTTGAAAAAAGTGTGAGAATTTTGCAATGGCAAGCCTTGCATACGAATGTTTTGTCCCTGTCAAGGGAGTCATCAGAGGCCTTTCAGCTAACTTGTCAAACATCGCGTTTGAAGTACCGCTAGCCTCAAAATGATGGTTGCAATCTGGCCTTATATCACATAAGGATTCCCAATTGCATAATATACCATTCACCTACTTGACTTGACTTACAATGGCTAGCCTACTGAGTTTTGTTTGAAAATATTATTGTAATGTATTCACACTCACTCGCTCAATCCCCTTCGTCCCTGAGGGAACTAAGGTCATCAACTAGTGCCCGCCACCTGACCTTATTTTGGGCGGTGCGCTTCGCTTCCTGTCGTGTGAGCTTTTTCTCCTCCAACTCCGCCATTCTGGTACGCCTCCAGGTGTGCTTGCGTCTGGCTGTCTTGCACTTCCCCTGTGAATTCCACTCTATGGCCTTCTTGGCTATGTATCCGTCTGGTCTCCATGTATTCACACACATGTGTATAACATAAATTTTGCATTTGCTTTGTAGGGTATTGAGTGGACAGCAATAGAGTATTTCAACAATGCAATCATCTGTGACTTGATTGAAAAGGTTGGTGCAAGTAGCCAAGGAGCTAGAGAATCTTTGCCAGAGAATGAAGTTTAGACAAGTCTTTTCTGTATTTTTATCAGCTCTTCTTTCGAACATGCAGTCGTCAAAATGCAGAATAACAAGGAATTAGCTTCTTTATTATGGTCACTTTCTTTTGGACTGATTATTGTAAAGCTAAGTCACTCATTGCCTTATGTAAGATCTCCTGTCTTATGTTCACTCCACTATCAGTGCCAACACGTTTTGTTTATCCATTAGGGACCCAGAAACAATTTTAAAGTAGTAGGGCTTAAAAAATCTGGCCAAGACAAACCAGCATTAGGGGTTACTTTCAAGTGACAAAATTCATACATGTACATTATCCATGTGATCTGGAGCCCTAAAAAATCAACCCAAACAAGAAAGCTGTGGGGCTATAGCCCTACCATTTCCTCCCACTCCACAGTCCCTTTCCATTGGCAATCTGATCACAGGTTGCCACTGCCTGTTAAAATTGTACATAACACATTTCTTGGCAATGTTGATTTTAAGTTGTTACTAGTTAGAAAATAGTATTTTACAGTAAGATACATCTCATATTTGGTTTTGCATGTATCATATTTTCAAGACATTTTCTTTTCCAACACACTCCTTTATTTTCTTTTGTGCTTCACTTTAGAGATGCTTTGCAGTTAAAAAATGGGGTAGTAGGAAGGCTTGTAGTCAAGAGAACATTGTTAGTTATTTAATTTTTACATTGGCTAATGATTAGTTTGAGATTAAGAAAATAAAAGACAAATTTGCCAGTTTAAAAACGAAAAGAAACCTGAAGCATATCACATCTCGCAGTGGCTTGTGGGATTGTTACTGGGGACAAAACACAAGACGGGAAACTACATTGTATGTTGTTCCCTAGTAACGATTCCACAAATGACTACGAGATGAGACTCGTCTCAGATTCTCGTTTCTAAAGTGGCAAATTGACCACCATAGCAAATTCGAAAAAGCTCGCTAGTTCGTCGTTGTAACCCTTCAATGAAGAGCTAACACTTGAACTCATTACATTTAAGTACGGTGGTTAATGTACCTTCGTCAAATTCAATTTGATAAATAGCTGTATCATTTGGCCACCAACCACTACAACGTTTTGTTTTGAAACTGACAGCTTTGTTGTTTTTTTACATGCACTAATTCATTTCCCCCATAAGCACTGTCACAAATCATTACTCGCAGCTGTATCTGGCAGCAGTGAACTTGTACACCTTGTAGGCCATCTGTCAGCTTAAGTTTGTAACTATACTCATTGTCAAGTTCGATTAGGATAGGGAAGGTTTTACCCAATTTCAATTACTCTTATGATTATTACCGTGATGTTTTTCTCCCAGAGTCATGTTGGTATCATATCCCTTCTTGATGAGGAATGTTTGCGACCAGGAGAGGTAAGGAAACTCACAATCTGAACCCCCGTTTGTAGATTTTACCTTTAAGTGTAACAGCAAAGCCAATGACTGCAGTTACATATATATTTCATTTGACGTCATTACTCAACAGTGTGCCGTTTTCCTATTTCACGTTAACAATACAATTCAACCTACTACCGTATTTTACACACTTTGTACCCAAATTGTTTCAGAAACCAGGCAAAATGCTACTCTGTTTTGAATTTCCACGTGCCAATGGATAACAACCACATGTATTCACATGATTTCACGGCTAAACCATTTATAGGAATGAATGAAGCTGAACTGGAATTTCAGGTGGTGGAGGTGAGGCTGGGGGTCAACGCTGAAAAATCTCTCCAAAGGAGTGATAATGGATTTTTTAGGCAACAACGCAATTCTCATGAGTATCCATTATGTACGAGAAACGTGATGTGCACTTTATTTTTCAGGTCAGCGATGAGACGTTACTGGCCAAGCTCAACAAACACTGTATCGAGCATCCGCACTTTGAGAGCAGAGCGAGCAAGAAATTCCTGTCAGATCTCTCCCTGCCTCACGACTGTTTCAGACTAAAACACTATGCTGGAAGTGTAAGTGATTAAGAACAAACTACACACTGTTTGAATTTTTTCTTTTTCTTTTTCACAGAAATTCTTCAAGTATTAACTCACAAAATTATTTAGGCCGTATAGATCATGCAAACAGCTTAGTTTTCAGATTCAATCTTCTCGCACAAGCACTGTTAGAGAACATATTAATCTGATGTTTGTTGGGAATTCAACAGTGTTTTGTACCATGGTGGTAAACGTTTCCTCAGTCGCGAATGTTAGTAGTTTGGCGGGTTTTTATCTGGGATCAAGTAAATTTTTGTAAAATGTGGAAATAGAAAAATTATTTTGTCTTCAATGTTGTTCTTCAAGTGAAACGTTCTGCAAATTGTTGTTGGAAAGAGGGGATTACAACCAGAATTTCTTACAATAGACCATTTTACAGTTGTCTGCTCGTTGACCTGGCCTTCAAATGGCAGCAAGGCTGGAGGTGACCTTGCTTTGATACAGACCTCTGCTCTTGTCATGTAAATGCACCTAATTAAGATTAGAACAACTTCGTTTTACACAACTAAAGCAGGGAGGTCTTTATCAAAACGAGGTCACCTCCAGCCTCGCTGCCATTGAAAGGCCAGGTCACTGAGCAGATAACTGTAAAGTGGTTTACTATACAAATGTAAAAGCTCTTAAAATACAGGGCATTTTATGGAGGTGCTGACCCCCATAAAATTGTTTTATAAAAGAAGTATCTCGTTTTAGATGCACGATGCAGTAATTTTCAAAAGATTTAAGCTGTGGGCCTTGTATTTTGTGGAATTAGTTTTTGTTTTTGTTGACCTTTCTCTAGGTTACATATTGTGTGACTGGTTTTATGGACAAGAACAACGATCTGTTGTACAGAGACCTTTCGCAGTGTCTGTATGCATGTGGTCACCCACTGGCCAAGACGCTGTTCCCAGAAGGTAAGAGAGTCATTGAAATTGTTTACTCAGCTTGTGTATGTTTTGACTGTTACATTGCATTTTTTCCACTGTTTTGACTGTTACATTGCAGTTCACGAGTTGCCCGATAGGAGCCCTTTGTTTTTAACCAGGTTGTCGGCCACGCTTGTAAATAGCCAACTGGTTTGCCTCCGGCCAGTTGGGATTCTTAACAATGTTATGTTCAATTTGAATCATTTGTTTCAGTTGATTGATCAGCCCCACTAGCACTTGTGCTATAACTGACAATGCCGAGGGTAAATAAAGGGTATATTTTCGTTGTTGTTGTTGTTGTTGTTGTTGTTGTTGTTCGGTTAACGCTATTCCTAATCCAGGATTATAAGTTAACCGAAGTCTTGATTTTTCTTGTATGATATATTTTTTTTTTCACTGCTTACGTTTAGTGTAGTTTGGGATTATTCAAACTCAAAACTGAAAGGCAAACAATATAAACAGAAAACTTCATCGAAAAGGTACAAAACTGAAATCAAAATTCTCGCTAATCCTGGGTTAACTAAATCGGGTTTTGAACAACCCGAGCCATAGCCAGGAAAAAAAAAATATGATTGATGCAATGTCCATGATTAAATTCTCTTCCTTGGTATTTGGGGTGTTAATGATGACTATAAACAATAAAAGCGAAAAATTTGTTTGAGGCAACTGCCTCGGTTTGCCTGTTACTAGCTACGACCCTGTTCGGCCCTGATTTTTCACTGTTTTCGTAGGTTGCCCTGGCAAGGCATCAAAGAAGAGACCTCCTACAACAGGAACTCAGTTCAAGGTGAAGCTTTGCTTCAGTAATGGTTGCTTTTGTGAGACCGTCGTTATTGAGCAATGGGTCTTCCATTGATGGGTTGTTTGGTGGTGATTAAAGACTTACGCTTACGTTTTCTGTTTATTTGTTTTTGAACACAGCACAGCTGTTAGCTTACTATTCGCGACAATCCCTTTCACACTCGCTGAATAAGAGATGGAGAAGTGCGATTGAGCTTGAGTGAGTTGGAAGTGTAAAAGGATTGGTAAAGGGAGGGATTGGAGACGAGAAGCGCGGTAGCGTGTAGAAGAAAGCGAGAAAGAGAAACAACATGTTGCGGCTGCCAACAGCCATAGGATTCTTTGGCGAACTGGGCTGAAATGATATGCCCAGCTCTTGTTTATACTCGCCTAGTAAGGAACCGGTGCGAATAAGGAGAAAGAGTAATTTTTTGCCGTCTGCTAATCTGAATTTGAAGACTGCGAGCAATCATGGCCCATCTTTCTTCGAGGATATTATGTAACCGCTTTTCTTTCTGGTAGGTTTCAGTCTCCGAGCTGACGAAGAATCTAAAGTCCAAGAACCCTCATTACATCAGATGCATTAAGGTATGTATTTCCTGTAACAAGTTGTGAAACTTCCTCTTCCACTTTAAAGCCGAGAGGAGATGGAGATGGCAATTTGAACTACTAATACTTACACTACTACGACAGTGGCGCCGTCAGTTTTCTCAGTTGTTTAGGATCTACAGTTTCTTCCACTCAACTGGGAGCCTCTCCACTGCATAATCTTCACCCTGGAACTCTGTCCAAGCTATGATCGAGAATAAAATTAGGCGTTCTTGACGGGGTGAAACAAAACAAAACAAAACAAACAAACGCTTACATATACAGACTATAGAACACTGGTCTCAATGGATGGAAATAAAACCATTGTGATAACTGACTGATTCTTTCGCCAATGATAGAGATCTAATACTTGACTATGCTGTTTTCATTTAATTTCAATGTCCATTCCAGGTATTATTTTTTTCTCATGTATTTTTTTTTTCTTGTGTTTCCTTTACACAGCCAAACGACAAAAAAGTAGCGGGGCTTTTTGATGATAAACTAGTCCGACATCAAGTCCGATATCTTGGGTGAGGATTTACATTTTTACGTGACACTTCAATGCTTTACAGTTGAACCTCCAGAGGGGACCATACGGCCCGTATCTAAATGCAAAGATCCCGTATGGGAAGCACAGTTGAACCCCGCTATTTCGAACTCTCGGGGGAAACGAAAAATATGGTTTAAACTCATTGTTTCGAACTCTCAGGGAAACGACTTCAGGGCAGATGTAAGGGAAATGGTTTTGAATTTGAAATAGGGGGTAATTCGAAATAACCGAGTTCGAATAAACGGGTTCCAACTGTATCTGCAACTCATTTAGTCTTACTAGAGGGAGGCAATCGTGAACTTGTATCTGGGTGGAAGTACTATGCACAGAATAGCAACATCATACGGTATGACACAGGTGTCATACCGTGTGCAAAAGCAATGTTTTCGTTTGGGAGAGACCACGATACTATTCAATTGAGAGGTTCAGTTGTACGCAATTTGAATATTTATATCTAATGAGAATTATTGAGAAATAACAGATGTTGTTGTTGTTGTCTAACAGTTGAGTTGTATCTGCTGCAAGTTTTGTTTGTTTTGGTTCGTTGATAGTTTGATGGAGAACGTTCGTGTCAGAAGAGCAGGATTTGCATTCAGACAAGAGTACGACGTGGCTCTTGAGAGGTACGAAAAGTTTTCTCTTTTATTCCCCCAAGCATGTGGTTTATATTGATATACTGCATTACTTGTAGAATTTTTCGGACAGTTTTATCTTACTTCGGACAAATTTCGGACAAAAATGCAGAACACTTTGCTAAAACATAGCTAAAGTAAATTTACGCCTACATAACACGTTTTAGACTTAAACATCATCTGTGAAAAGTGATAGTTTCACTGCAACCC